TCACAAGCTGAAACTTACCTCATGCAAGTTGCCATTCTGAATACAAGACACACAGAGCAGGTAAATCAATTCCACAAAATGACTGATGTCATTAGCAAAGCATCTACTGCAAAGAATCAGTTATTAAATATACACTGGGGCTTTGGTCTTTGTTTTTAAGAAATGAGGGTCTAGCACAAAAACTAGCTAGAGAATTTAATCCTGCCTGCATAGAGGCAAAATAGCATATGATCACTAAATGGCCAAACAAGCATCATAAACCATTGCCTCGGAGCAGAATTTGCTCTCCTTCACTGTCAAGGTAATTAGGTGACTAAAGACAACTCAAATTTTTAGATCAGCCTAATAGGTGGGTTCTCTGCTACTGTATTAAGGACATTGTCTCAAATCAGTAACTAGTGCCAAGTCTCAATGCAAGATTCATTTTCATTACAGCTATGCCTTGTGGGAGTCCGAAGGGCACAAAGTGTTAACTGACCTGAAAACAAGGTCCCATAGCTTTGAGGTTAGTTACATATACATAATACTTCAAGAATTGTTTCCAGAAGAGACTAGTTTAGCACAGCTCCTGCTGCCTTGGCTATAGAAAGAAGTTGGCTGATGGCTATATTGCTGCCTTTAACAAGAATGTCAAGTTCAAATGAAATCTGCAGGAAAATTTTGGACTGACAGTCAGTCCTTTCACCAGGATTGTACTTGTTAGCATCAACTCAAACGCGTTCCTGTTTTGATTTGGTGTACTGAGCCTATGAATCTGCTGTCTGATGCTGGACTTTAAATTTCATTGCCACACTTGTCAGTAAATCAGAGGCACCATTTCTTCTCCGAATTACCTATTTTAAACTGTCAGCATCAAACAAGTGATTCCTGAGCTATCTTGTTAATTATTATCAACAGGAACAGCAGATACATGCATCTGTCAGGACTGGGCATCACAGGAACGTACTCTTTCTGATATTCAAAGCAGTCAACATACATAGAAACTTACTACTGCTTTTGTCCAACAAACTGAGCACAGATGGGAAGAAGCAACACCAACATAAAACCCGAGCCTTCCCTGAACCCCAAAATTTGCTTTTACCTTGCAACATCACTCTCATACCACCAATCTAAAATTAGTAAGTAATTTCTGATAAAAAATCATGACTACAGTAAATGTAATATAATGTAAAATACATGCAATTTGTTTGCCTATTCAATACAGGATTTAATTAGCAAAGTTTACAACAGAACTGCACCACTCACCCAGAAAAAATTAGAACCCAAGGTAGTGCTGTTGCAGCTCACACCTTTGTACTTGCAAAGAATTGACTCCTCTCCCGCTCTCACCACTTTCTGCAGTTTGGCTGTATGACAGAACTGCCTCCAATTAAGAGTGAAACCTTGGCTCTGCTTGACAGCATTACTCTCCTACAGAGTAGTAATGAATGGAAGAAACGCCAGTCTACGCAGCTTGAAACAGCAGCTGTGAGCTACAGGTGGGCAGCATTATTTCCAGTAAGGGCACATTTTGAAATCTGAGTTTATTTCATTGCAAACATAATAATAGTATTTTGGTCAAAATTGGGAAATATTTTTAAAACCTATTATATTTTTGGATTTTTCTGTTATTAGAACTGCGAGCTTACCAAAGAGCGTTCTTTGGTGTTATATATGCATGATGCCTTTTACAACTCTTCTGTTGGCAGTGTTTTTTCCTAAATCACGAGTATAACAGATACTTAAGTCCTAAAAAAAGTGTAGCTAGGCCAAGGCTTAGCAGGCATGGCTGATGAAAAATACTATTCTCCTAGAGAAAAAGACATACAGAAATGATATATTAGTTGGTTTTGACAGCCTTCATAGTCTAAGCATCTCAGACCACTATATACAGAAAAACTTCCTTGAGACAGACAGTCCTGTTGCAGCGCTTTCAGTGTTTGTTACAGCCCCTTTGCTAGCTGCTTAGTGCTTACACAAAACTATTTGCTTCCTTGGAATCAGCAAAATTAACATTGTCCTACTACGAAAATTAACATCCTATACTATGAAAGAGCAATTACTCTGAAGAAGTTTTAAGAGCAAACTTTGTTTAGTAATTGTGACGAGCGTTTCTGAGGCCATGATTACCCAAGACTGACACAGGTGGTACAACTCCTAGTTTACTCACAATGGAGTAGCCCAGTTTGTAACACAAAATGTTGCAATGTTTCAGGAGTTTCATGGAATTTGACTGCATTTGTGCTATAATTAAGTTGCATTCAGCCTTGCTTACCACTACCAAAGTGATTCAGAATTGTAGCCCAGCAGCTGAGCTGGTGTAGCAGCCACAACTGGGGAAATACTGGCTTTAACAACAGTGACCTCAACAACTATGCTGACTTACAAAACCAGACTTATAAAATAAGTACTCAAAATATAGAAAATTTTGCAGCAGAAAAACACAAGACAAAGTTGAACAGTTTCAACAAACTCACTCGAAATTAAGAGGCAAGTAAATTAACAGCGTACTTGTGACTGAAAAACTACTCTGCTTGAGGGCAAATCCTGCTCGGCCGATGAACACCAGAAAGGCTTCAAAAGATTAATTAAATAATCCTATGGAAAACACAGTTGTTCCTTAATGCTACCATAATTAACAATAGTTATGAATATACACTGTACTCAGTGTGTGCTTTTGGAATTAATTTGGCAACTGTGACTTTAGTTGAAATATCACTGCTTTGAATTTAAGGGTTTATGAAGAACTCAATTTATTCACTGCTTAACCTCTGACGCTCTTATTTATTTCACTGTTGAGACAGAAGCTCTAAATGAAAATCTAAAGAAATAATGAACTGTATCTACAGATGAGAAGTTTGGTGATGCTGTTTGTCGTTTTGTTTTGTGATTTGTTCTCCCATCAACCACCATGGGTCAGAAGCAGCTATTCATTAAAGATGCACTGCTAGATATTCAAGGAATCCCTGTTAGTCGTGAACAAAAACATGAGAACAATTAGAGAGCTTGGAGGAAGAGAAAACAATGAAATTTCAGGCCCAGCTGGGCCCCTACCAGACTATCAGAAAATTTAAGGGGAAGTGTTGCATTTGCGATGCTCTCTCTAACCAGTGCCTCAAGTATAGATTTGAATTATGGTGATTCTGAAGTCAACAAAGGTATGCTTATGCAGCAAACAGATGTAACAGCCATATCCCAAAGCCCAGCTATACTGCTTTAGATCTAGTTACCACAATTCAAACGTAAAAACAAAGCAACAAAGGCTCCGGGCCTCAAGATGAGGATCTGGGCCAGGACTGAGGTACAAGCGCAGTTAGCCATTACCTTTTCACCGTTACTGTCATATGCTCAGGAAAGGATTTGCCTAAGCTTATACTGCAATTACATCTGGTTTTGCTGTGTAGATGTAACTAGTGCAATTGCAGTAACTGACTACATAAATCACATGTCCCTTAAGACATAATATTTTTTCATTTACATGGGTTTTGCCTTTTAAAAAACAAATTAATAGTACGTTGGCATCAATACCTTCTTCCTACAAGTGGCAATAAAAAACTGCTAAAGAAATAAATCAGAAGCCATGGATAACCCAGTTCTTACACACATTCATGTCCCACATTTGCATGAATCTTGATGGAAATCAGAATTTAATACAGTAAATACACTGCAAGTTCACCAATTCTGAATACTAAGAAAGAAATGTCAACGCTGTACTTTTCCTTTTTTAAACAAATATTACAAAATTGAATTTTATTTTCACACAAGATGCACTTATAAAATTGATACAGAATATCATTCAACAAAAAAAAAAAAAAAAAGAAAGCAATTCCAAGCTTTCTTTAGCAACTGCTAAATAATTCAAAAATAAGATACACCAAATTGACAGATAATCTGATTTTCAGTGTGTGAACATCTCCAATTAGTATAAAATACATCAAATATTAAAGAATTTCAGATTTTTTCCCAGCACAAGTCCTCTTCTTTTTACTCTCGTCCCTGAACAGTAACCACAGCTTTTGGCCATTGCTTCAGTTACTCCTGATGGGAGAGGAAAGGCTGAAAGACTGCAGCAAGAAGTTCCCACCAGAGCAGACCACGCTAACCTGTGCAGCAAAGCGATCTCACTACCAAGTCTGCTCAGACACTTAGCTCTGTCCAGCTGTGTCCATTTGCTATGTTACTGTAGTCCCGCAAATTTCAGGGATTAGCATACACATTAAACTTTCACATGTTCATAAAGCAAATAAACTTTGGCTTTCCACTCTGACAAATTATGAAATTAGCAAAAAGAAAATTTTGTCTTCATTTGTTCGGCACTGAAGCAGTTTTAGGATACCTTCCCTTGGAAAGTGAAACTGGAGCTTAAGTATGTGAAAGGCATTTGAAGTTAATGCTGTGTTTCAACAACAGTATAAGAAGAAAGGGTATCTTATGATACAAGTCTTCTGCCCAAGGTTTGAGGGCAAACTTATTCCATTCTTGGTCTGAGGATTTCAAACCATCTTTTATCAATTCTCCCACAACTGTATCTCACACCAGAACTTATGATGCACTGTAATGCCTAAATGCTCTTTATTAGATCGACTCCATCTACTTAAGTTTGGCTAAAATCAATCAATTAAAATGGATAATTCTGATCTGATTGTCAGTATGTGCTTTTAAAGGCATGTTCTCAGGCAAATTAATAGATGTCATTCTTATCAGAGTTAAACCCAAAATGCAGTGTAATATTCTTTTCTGCTGCGTTAATGCCATACATATAGTTCCAATACAACACTTGCTTGCTGCAATTAACACTGCCTTTCCTCAACATATGGAAGTGCCCCTTTATTGTTTTCCCCTACAGCAACAAAAAATCCTCAGCTTTTAAAAATAATTTTATAAATAATTTGCCTTGCAGTATACACAACACAAGAAATGAATATGCTTCATATTTTCCCACTTAAGCAGAACCTTCATTATTGTAATCTTTCCTTGGTGTTTAGTATTTAGATAAAATAGTATGCAGTAAATCTTTCATTTAAAGGCAAAATTTTATTCTGATTACAAGATTTTCAAGATACATCTTGAAAAGATTTTTGTTGACAAGAATAACTATCTTGACTTACTGTTTTATGTACCAATGCTTTATGCGTTTGTTGATATAAGCACAAGGTTTGAACTCTGCTTGCAGATGTTTAATAAAACAAGGTAACTGGAAAGGCAAGCTTCCGGTCAAGTTGTCAAACATTTCCAGGAACATCCTTACACTGGAGGAACCTTCATGAAAAGCAGTATGTTCCGGAAGCACAGTTTCACAACGCAGAACAGGATTATGCTTTTTTCCCAGTCTATTTTCCAGAAAAGTGATACTGCAGCTCTGCCACCAGGCTAGAGACTCACAATCCACATTTTCCAAGAGGCAAGTTAAAGAACTCTTACTTGACCTGACCAGATAAAGCCAAGTTACTTGTAGAAAGAAATTAATATTTTTTTCCATTAATAATTTAAGTTTTTAAATAAATATTTATGTGCCTTTTTTGGCAACTGTCCATTCTGGTAGCATTTGCTGTCCCAACAGCTCAGTATCCTCAGCACATTGATTAAAAAAAAAAAAAAAAATATTAGTCAATTCTGTTTCCACAAATAGTAAACCTGTCTATCTCCAACAAGTCTTTCTTTGAAGACCTGTGCTTTAATTCTGAACTGTCTTGGCTTATATCTTTTTCTTCTCCATCAGGAGTCGTCAGAAATTGATCAGAATTGCTTGTGACAAGTAAAGATGGCATATTCTCCTTCTGATGCACAGGTTGATTGGTAACTGATGTAGATCCGTTTTCATCTGTAGAAATTCCTGTTGGAACAGAAGACAATTACAAAGATAATAATTAATTTAACACAGAAATACTGATGCATCTATAACATCCAGATTTGTCCAAAGCTGTCCTGAAAATATGTGCTGCATCAAATCAGCAGAAGCAACAGAAAAGCACTTGTGAAAGCCACTGCCTCTTCTTAGTTTTACCGTAAAAGCTTCTTTTTCTAATTTGGTAAGAGAATAGAAAATGAATTTTACAGAAATTCAGATAATGAGCAAGAGTATAAGCAACAGATGTTAGGATATACACTGCGTTCTTCTGGTTTACATGCTCATTTTTGTTGGGTTATGCAAAAAGATTTTTGACAGTCATTGTGTGAATCCCACAAATATTTTCTACTGAAATGAAGAAAAGGAATCTCTAGCATGAACTAGATGTGCCTAATCCTCTACATAAGTACAATAAACCTGGCTTCTCGAGGGATAGCTATTGACTCATGCACTGCTACACACTTTAATAGCACTGGCTCCTAAAGCAGTTCTATTAAAGATGTCTATTTTTATTCCTGTCTCTTACTTCAGTGGAATTGAACACTGGCACCATTAACCTAAGATATTTGTAAGTAATATCCATGCATTGTTTTCACATTTTGTTAAAACATTTAAAGAATTAAAATGCACAAGTGAATGACAAGGAAATAATTTTTTCTTATTTACATAAAGACCGAGTTATTGTTTCTGAAGGAATCTGATTAATGTGGAGAGTACTCCAGACCAGCCAAAGGGAACATTATTTGTCAAAATGGCAGCACTATCCAAATTACTACAAAAACTTTTTGTATAGCATCTCTTTACAGTATACCCTCTACTACCTGAAGGTACATGGATTACTCTCTACAGTCCTATGCAAGTCAAAGGTACTAAAACCTGCATCAAGGAAGGAGACAAGTAATGCTAATGGTAGAACTTCGTTACAAAGGTATTTTTTAATCCAGCAGCTTCCAGAGAAAGCTGGTCAGCCTATAAATGGTTACCAGTAATTAGAACTTCCATTCTTCAAGAGAAAGTATAAAATTTTATCCTTCAAAATGTTAAAACTTTCTGTGATGAGGTGGAAGCTCTTAGGAAAATAAATTAACTTACATTATAAGCTGATAGAAAGTAGACCAGATTAACTCCCTCACCCTCATTCTAGTAAGAGATGGGTTGAGAGACTGTATTGAATAAAAAACTGGTAAAGTGGGGCACACAGATTAAGCAATATTGCAGAGCTGAGCAGTAATAATGCAAACACACAGAAGCTGAAGAAGGTAAAATAATTCTTTCACATAATTGAGGCTTCTAGTAAATAAAGAGCTGTTAAAAGGTATTAAAAAAAAAAAAACCCTGAAAGATATAAAAAAGGTATATAAAAAAGACATATAAATGTATAAAAAACCCCTGAAAAACTGTTAAAAATTAAGCTTTTTTCATCACTGATGGAAGCTAAGAATATTCTTAAAATAAAATCAGCAAAAGCTCTGTGATTGCTACTTTTCTTTAGTAGCTTTTTTGATTGCTACTTTTCAACCAAAATCTTTCCATTTGAGGAAATAAGCATCTCTGCTGACTGACCTGGTAAAACTGCTGCTGCTTCAGTTAAAAATAGTCTTCAGGATTTACTTACTGTGAGTAAGTTTAAGTGTCAATCTAAGTATGACTTATTAAGTCTCATATCCAAGTGTAGTATTACAATGTTTAATTAAAACATTATCATTAGGATAGTTGTCTAATTAAATGCAAGAGACATTCAGACCACAAATTCATATTACATGCTTTTGTCATGAAACTAAAGCAACTCTGTGAATTTAAGCTATTTAGAAATAAACATCTGCACCAGGTTTCTGCCTGATGTGATTTGCCACAGGTGAGATACAGAGCATTATGACTGAAACACTGACAGATTCCTAATTCTACTACTGCTGGCAAGACACTATGACAACTAATAAGCACCTTACATTTCAAGCTGTTCAAGGCTTTGGCAAGCAATAGAGTCAACACAATAAAAGCCTCACTGTTAAGTTCTCTAGGGCTCTCATTGAGCTCCTCACAGAGGAAGATATACAATCCAATTCAGTTGACTGGAACAATGAAGGTTTCTGTTTCCTTCTATAACGTGTCACAGGAATACAATAATGTCCCATTCTAATTATAGATTAACCGCTAATGCTGAGGACCTATGTGAGAAAATCATGCTGCATAGACTTGAAATAAAGCGAGTGGAGACTAGCTGAAATTCCTATTTGGATTTCATAAAGCTTTTCATTAATGTGTTCATGACAACTACAAATAATTATACCTATTGTGTGCCATGTTCTACATTAATTTCCATAAGAAATGCATAGATTGCTTCCTTATTAAACTTCAACACTGCCAGAGATGTGTCAACATTTACTTATTTGTGCAGTGACATGGCAGAGGGGGTTGGACTAGATGATCTTTAAAAGTCTCTTCTAATCCAAACTATCCTATGATTATGATTTTCCAACAAAAGCGTGCTACTGTTCTGATGTTTCTATCACCTCCACATATCAGGGTGGGATCCTATCAGAGAGATGAGTATTTATGACCAAAAGATGATGCATAAACTAAAAGTAATAAATTCGGTTAGATTTACAGACTCGTGTTCACAGCTGTGATATGGTACAATTAAGGTCCAGCAATAGGGTGACTGCAGCAAACACTATCATACATCTGGTTTAATATTAAATTTACTCTGAAAGCAATTTTCATTAGTCAAACAAAACAAGGCAGTTAACCTTACCTTGGGTAGATTTAAACACACTTTGCTGTTTGCCAGCTGGCTTCCCTGGGGTAGCAGTCAGGACAGGATTGAATAATTTCTCCTCCATTTTTGCCTCCTTTACATATTGACATGATTTCCCCAGCAACACAATACTGTTAAGGACTTTCAGAGATATTAACCTGAAAAAATAAAAGGATTTGTTTACATATTTGCATTAGCATATTAAAATAATTGCATATTATTCATATTAAAGTAATTTCATATCGTTACTGCTGTCTTGGAAGGATCAGCTAACAAATTAAATCTCTTCAATAGCCAGATTAAAACATAATTTCCTTTTGCTAATAATTTGTTTCAGATTCAATCCTTATATTTTTTTAAGTTCATTTTTTTCTTTCCAGAAGGCATCTAGAGAAAACCATCAAGTTTTATCATAGCTTAACAAAAGAACTACAAGGACAGTTAAGCAACCATTTAATACATCAAATATTTAAACACAGAACTAAAAAGGACCCTCAACAGTGCACGTCCAAATTAAATGCACTACTGTTAAAACTGTAGCCTTAAGTATGCCCAGTCAATGATCCCTAGTGGACTTTGAACCACAAGCATCTAGCAATATCTAGCTTTCACAAATCACAGGCTAGTCATAAAAAGTCCTTTTTCACATCACAAAAGACAGTCCATAAAACTCAACAAATGCAAAGAGGCAGCACTGCATTACCATCATAGCACAGTGAAGTTGATGGCAGATTCCTTTTCTATTACCACTGATGTGCAGCACAAACTTCATGCACATCACTAACAGACTAAAAAGAAGACTTGAAGTGAACACTCACAGATCCATGAAGCAGGTCTAACTGCTTACTCATGGTGACTAAAGCACACTTCAGCAGCAGCTTCACTATCTCTCACTGCACTAATGTAATCAGAACTTGTGAAACAAAAACAAAGTGCACTGCACTTTTAAGGGAATTTAATGCAATACATTTATTTGTAGAAGAAATTTAGAGAAATAGAAGAACGAGCAGAGCAGACCACTTTCGTACTGAGAAGAAAGTGACATTTTGGTATTCAAGAAACCAAAAAGATACCATTTTATACAAGTTGAAAGCCATGATTCTCTATAATTTTATTAGGTTATCGGGACAGATTTTGTTTCTGAGAGTTGAGAAGCTCTGCTCCATTTTTAATAAGTTCTAGAGGTTTTTTTCTACACTTTTTATGAAAAATACTTTTGTTGTGACAGAGTAGGTGTTTACAGCATGATTTTACTCTGATTTAATGAGATCAGAAGTTGAAAAAGCCATAAATCAACTCTTTACTCTATCAGTTCCAGGTTCTCATGGAAAATTATGCGAGTTTCTAGTGCTTCTCCTTTACTCTTTCCTGCCAGTCCACCCCAGGCTCAAATTTCTAACAACAATGTAAGTTTGCAGTTGTTCAAAATCCTAGAAAAAGAAAACTCAGGTTTCATATGCTGAACAAGACTCTTTAATAGTATAACTTAAAGTATTACAGTCCTCCACATTACAGTCTCAGTCCTTTGCCCAGTTATCTTTCAGATTTTTTCACGTTGTTCCTCACATATATATCTATGTTACACTAATCTGATGACAAGCTGAAATTTGTGTTCAGAACACAAATTACTTGAAAGATGCAAGGTGAGTTAGCTCCAAATCTGAGATCATGGCAGAAGTAAAAATCTGTTCCCACTTTTCAATCAGGACAAAATAAACCAAAATGTATTTACTATTGTTACCAATCACTTCCAAGAGCAGCATTTAATCCTTCATGTTAATGGTATTAGTTCTTTCTGCCCTCCATCCTCCAAGCCAGAGATACAGGAAAAAATCCAGGACTGGGCTGCAGCAGTGAAATGGTAGATGTAGGGAAATATTACATATATTGGGAAAAAGGAAAAACCACTGAGCAGAGTGAAGGTGCTGAGTTTGGTATACCACAGCTTGAATGTGATGATCAGAGTCTAGTGCTTTCAATTATACAGAGCTGGCTTTAGGGAAAACATGGGCGTAGCATGTCATATGGTGGTGAAGAAATCAAAGTATGGTACAGAGGAATATGGCTAATATTTAAGTATTTGACCTATAAGAAGTTTCTCCAAGTCCTAGTTAACCGACACTCAAGTGATGTGTCTCTACACTGATGTGGACTAGACACATGAGATCAAGTTCTACTGTTTTTGCAATTCAAGGTCAGATTAGAGATAAGAGTTTATCCATAAAAACCGTGTAGTAATCCCATTCTTTTCATAAGGTATTGTAAAACAGCAGCCTCCTCTCTTCCAGTGTACCTGCTGAACCACTGCCCCAGACCTCGAAGTCTTTTACTTCCCAAGGCTTGCTGCCTTCAGTTACAAACATAACTTGGTAGGGCACTGGAAGAAATATTCCCACAATATTGCATGCGGGACTCCAATACGAATCAGTACTGAGAGACAACAAATGCCGACAGTTCAGTACACTGCTTTCATAGAAACTGGTCATCCCCCTATAGTCTACAGCATGTGTCTCAAGATAGGCAAACTAAATTGGATTTAAAGTACAACTAAATGCATGTCAGAAGTATATATTGACTGGTGAGAAGTTAAAGATAACACAAGGATAAACTGACTTGGCAGTGAAAGGATATTGGCAAATCATTGGTTTTGGAAAAGAGATTGCCACAGGACATTATATTCCTTAACTAAGATTGCTTACTGACCCCAGCCTTCCCAGAAAGGTGAGCTTTGCATTTACCTTTTCTTTTTTTTTTTTTTTTTATTCCATATAGCAGTCTCCTAACGCAAAGAAACCTTGCATTTAGCCATCAGACAGAAGAATTCATGTTCTGTTCAGAGCGCTTAAGCTGCTTATTTTTGTTGGCATACTGAATCTTTCACTCTTCTCACAGAAAGTTTCATTCCTCAGAATTCAATTTCCCCCTTTATGCAGAGGTATGGTGCCTGTCTGTCACAAATTCTTTCAATCATTTTTTCATTATTTTCATTATTGAAGTTACTTATTGAGGGCTATAATCCCCCAATGCAGTTACAGAACACAGTGACCAATCTGAACTCTCGATTTGTTTATGAGTATAAAGTGTTTTACATTTATCTTCTACTGAACATAAACCATGTTTATACTTATACCTAGAAATATCAACAGAAGCTTTTTTCACATATCTGATCAAGTAACAGTAAATACTTTTTAACTGTGTGCATTTACTTACCCACAGTAGAACAGCACAACACAAACATAAGCTAACACTCCTTGTACTTTTATCGAGCTTGTTACAACTCTGATGAGCTGTTTTAAGGATAAAAGATAAACAGTTAAAACATATAGTACACTATTATTAATAAAATATATAACAGACATTTAATATTTGGTAAATTCAAGACAAAAGTAGAAACATGTACATTAATAGAAATTCATTCTAATGTTCCCCTTGGCAGCACTAACTATTCAAGGTTTTGGTTTGAGTAAGTATGATACTAGCACCTAGTTCCAACTTTGCCAAAACTACAGTCTGATAATGTTTCCTTCACTACTGACTTCTGAGTAAAGTAACAAGTGAAAAAACTTCCCACAAGTCAAGGGCTGGAAGCTGAGTTAACAATTATGAGGAAAATGTCAAGGGAGGCTGATGCAGTAAAACAGAATCAGTGTTTTGCACTATGATAACATATTGAATACAAGATAGCTTTGTGGATTAGGCATATGAATCCCAAATTTCAGTAACAAATGATCCTGAAATCTCAGTTTTACTTCAATATTTCACAGTTAGGGTTTCAAGTCAGTAAAATCACTTCAGTTCGGTTTAAACCTATTAATATCCAGGATACCATACACAATTAACTTGAAAAAATAATTTCAATCAAATTCTCATTGGATGTATTTTACCTAGTTATAAAAGAAATCATGATTATGATCATAGTTGTTTTGTGTTTCTTTTTTTTGTTGTTTGAGGGGTTTTGCTTGTTTGTTGGTTTTTTGTTTTTGTTTTTTTTTTATGTTTTTTTTTAGATCCTGGATAAAAACTAGGCAAAGTCTGTCAATAGTATTTTTCCCCATCTCTATGGGAGACCATTACATTCAAAAGTTAATTCATATTGATATTCTTCCAGGAAAATTATGACTTAGCACCTTTCCTGGCAAAGGAAGGACACATTCCCAGTATGATAACTACTGCTTCTCTACATGTGTGTATGGGGAAAGTCAGAGCAACTACTTGCATAAAACATTCTGCAATAGTTAATTCAGAACAGATAGCATGTGGACACAATTCCAATAATGAAGTGATTCGTTTAATAGTGGCATGTCCATGTAACAGAGTCAATTATTTCAGAATCATGTATTCTACAATAGCTCATAAGCTCAGTTCCCCATATAAATGAAAACTTAGTCATTAAGCATATATCATTACAGGGACAACCACAAGGACTCCTATGAAAAACCTAAAAAGCTAGTACACTACTGCTAACCTTCTGGCAACCAGCTGCTTTGACTATTCAGAATGAATGAACAGGATAATTGCCAGAAGGAATAAATGTTTAATAAACGCAGATGTAGTTTAATTCCACAGCTACAATTCAAGTGCTTATAAATTCTATAAAATTAATATATATCCAATTTTTAATGAAAAGCTGATAAACAGTAACACATTCATGAAGTCCTAATTAGTATGCAATATAAGCTATACTGAATGCTAACTCAAACTTGAAGCATCCTTTCAGTTACTTGAGGTGACCATTTCATTCTCAAAATATCAAAATGAGCCACCACCAGCATATATTCTCACAGTGAGATCTTATTGACAGAAAACTGATAGGAAAGATACAACTTACTAAAACGGCCAGTGGAAGAGGAATGAAACCCATTCTTCTGGAAACCGAATCACTATAATCTGTATATGCCTAGGAAAAAAAGAGGAAGAATAATGAACTATTTATGCAAAGGAATGAGCTTATTTTAGCTTGGCACACTCTCTAGATAAGCATCAATCTCTCCTAACAAATACTATGCTGGTATAATTGACCTTTTCACATTCTGAAATTCAAATGCACGTAGCTGTACTCTCAGACAAAAATGTAATACTACCATGACCAGTAAGATTAGCTTCAGTGCTCTAAAATCAAGAGCAACCGGAGTATAAGACAAATCTCTAAATCGAGAGCAATTAGGACACTGAATCCAAATGCGCTATGATATTTCATCTGTACATTATTACTAGCTTAGAGACTTTTTTGTATTAATTTGACTTTGAGCGTCAAATACTGTACAGAAAAACCCATGCCAGGCATAAAAGAAAAATTATCCATCACACTGGCAAGTTTAAATCATTCTACAAACATCTACAATTAGCCTCAGGATAATTGTGTTACAATAATTTTGAAAATATGTTTAAATGAACTCTCAAAACACAACTACTTTGCATGACAGCTTTCATGCAGTATGGAATGTTGTGCTAAAGTTAGTGCCTATATGATGCTACCTCATTCTCCACAGAGGATCCTTAGGAAAGGTAACAGAGTTTTCAGAACTAAAACCACGGGGTTTTTAATTAACAAATTATTAATAATTATTTGTAATTGAAGGTGTCTAACTTCTTTATGAGGTATAACTACTGCATTCCTAGAAATAGCTATTAAACGTGCCCAAGAATCTACATAAATTATTATTATAAAGTTCATTTAATAGTTAGAGCACTCAGTAATAGTTAAGAAACTCATATGGCAAAAGTGTGCTGTAAACAGTCTTCCAAAAAACAGTACTAATGAAAAACATAAGCAGCCTGTGCATTCTGTAAAACATCCCTATACATCTGTGCGTGCTGTGAAGTAGTAATATAAATTCTTAACAAATACTGTATTTTGGTCCAACACAGTTAAAACAAAGCAAAAAGAACAGTAATTTTTAATTATCTCAAGAACATCTTGTTAAGCTTACTTAGTTCCCATGTACCTCAAAAATGTCAAAGCTGTTACAACCATCCCCTGACTGTAAGTGTATTTGGAGAGACTTCTCAACAATTTATTAAATAAAGCCCAAACTGACCTGAACAACTGGATAGAAAGAATATAAATCACAACGAAATACTCCTGTTATCTCTTATCAAAAAACCCCACAGAATTTCAGTGCTGTAACAGTTCTATAGGTATTTCTTCAACTATTTGTTCTCCCATAACAAATATGGTTTTTAATACGAGAAAATGCCTTTATTTTCAGGCTTACGTTTTTCTGTCGACTGCTAACAAGGTCAAATGCAAGACTGGCTCTGTATTCACTGTAGACCTGGAAAAAACCCAGCACATCAGATGTGTGATTAATTTGTTATCACATTTTATAGAAGCAACAGAGGTATTAATAAAATATTTCTGTGAAAAGATTATACACACGTAGGCACAAAATGAAGCAGTCAAAGTCAGTTTTTCCAAGGTCTAATTGCATCCTTCAAGAGATAAGCCTATATTTCTGTGATAAAGTGACTTGCATATATATACAACAAATAAAACAACACTATGCTTTATGTTTTAGGAATCGAATAGCCCTTATAAAGCATTTACTGAATCTGAGGATCATCAGAGACACAAAGTAAGAGTAATCATGTTTACATTTTTTCCTAGAGTTCATAATTTGTTTTAACCTACATGAAAGGTAAAACTAGGATCAAATTAAACAAATGAGAGAGCTTACTTATATACCAAGCAAGTGATCCCATGAAAAAAGCAAATTGTATCAGAAGATGAATAAAGCTTTCATCTCTCTTTTAAAAAACTCTGCATATTAAGACAGAAAAGCATCTATTTTAAGGATAAGTGACAATGCAACTTACACTGCAGGTGTTCAATACTTCTGAAAAAGTATGACCTAGTATCATTGCTCAGCATTTTTAGAACTTCATACAAAAAATACAAAGTTTGTTAAATAAACCTTGCAAAACTGTCACTCACTACCCTCATCCTCCAGCTGTTTCAGCACACTGAAGCATGCTACAGTTTCGGCTATCATGACTTCATTATTGCTCTTTTCCCCACTCTCTATATGCAACTAGGGCATGCATAAATGCCTCTGGCATAAGGGAGCTTATTAAGTACATCTACCAGACTTATTTCTATACCATACAACTTTAACAGATGCTGAGAAAGATAGCACTTCCAAGTTCTGATCTAATTTCCTGAAAAGTGGTTTTAATAGTGCAAGAAACACTAACTCATCTCTCACAAATTTATCAAGTGTATTTGAATTCACATAACACGCTAGACAAATAGCCAACGTATCGTGCCACAACATGCAAAAAATAACCTCATCTACTACTTTTAAAGAAGGACTGCATAATATATATGGCCTAAGAAATTTCATGAGTGGGAAACTAACATAACCTACTTCATGTTAGTGCTCCAGGGACAGTGGAAAAATATCTTTGGTTCAGATTCCACCTTTAACACACATGCAAGAACAGAGATTCAGCACTCTCACAAGATCTAATTTTCCTAAAGCCTGATTTTTTTAACCTATAATCCATTCTGTTAGTAAAAGGTACAAGTTCTGTCTAGACTGTAGAACAAGTAACCTTCTGTCAGTTTAACCAATGAGCACTTCACAAAATGATCTGCCAGTTATGTGAACTGTAGTTATTATGTGAATTGTTATACAATGCTTTCAATAATTCATGGATCTGGAACTATCAATTTAGAAGCAGAGGTGTTTGTTCCACATTACAAAGACCCGCAGAAGTATATTGTATCAGAAAATTACCAAGGTTTCCCTATACATGAAAGTAACAGTTTTTAAATTTTCTGCACTGGAATCAGTTTTAATATTTAAAAAAATATTAACAAAATAAACTACCACTTAAATTAGTACTCAGCATTCCAAACAGGATACCTACATCTGCTGTGATGTCATTGAATTTTGTTATAAAGGCATGTTTCACAATATCCACTGCAATTTCTGAAGCAACCACCATGCAAACATCTGGGAATAACACCCAAAGATGATCTGAAGATTGGGAAGAAACAAGTTAGGCCATTTAATTTGATGCCAGTACACAAAACAAAAGTTATAACAATTTTGCTCAACAGTGAAAAAGCTTCAAGAGTCTGAAGAGTCCGTAACTTTACATCATTACTCCGCATGTAGCGTGCAAGTCCTTGCTTATTCCATTGCTGTTCTAGAAACTTAACAGTACTATACAATCACACCACAGTTAGGATCAGGTTCTAAAGCCTTTACTTCATAAAGCTTTATCTCTACCAGGAAGACAACCTTTGCACATATTAGATAGTAGATTTTCAGTACATATGAAGAATAGATAGAGCACTTCCAGTTTTAGATGTTTAAGGTAGACTGATAACATTAAAGCAAAATACACCACATATATCAGGGCTCAAAATAATTAAAACAAAGTTTTAATAAAATAAAATCAAAATTTTACTGATTATTTATTTAATATGATATTAAAATTCTAAGTATAATCACTATTATGAATGGAAATTTTTATATAATCTATCAAATTTCAAGCTCACTAGCTGCACAAAATAAAATTCTCTAGTAGATCCTTCATCCTCAGCATACACCAAGGAAGCCAGAGAGCTGGGAAGAAATTGTTCAAGACACTACTTGAAACATAATTATGCACATTGGTATCATAACAGCACATACTTCTGGCAGAAAGGAGAGAGTCACTTTTATAAGAAAGCCAGAAATAGAAAAACAATAATCATCTAAGGTATGTGACAAATGAAGTTTCCTCAATTCAATGTACTGGTTACTCTTATCTTTCAGATTGAGGAAAGAAGCAAGAGATACAGTTGTTGATAGCACCTGACTTTGTAATTTTGTATCTAATCTTTTACTAGTTTACTCACCTGGATTCCATGAGAACTGTTCCATATTTCTTAGACATACAATTAGTAGCAGCACGTAATTGGTGAACCTCTCCTTTATATCTAGTTAAAAAAAAAAAAAAACCAAACCAAACCTGTCAACTCCAAAGAAACATTTATTTGCATCCAGAGATAGCTAATCATTCTGAGGTTCTATTATTTAGTAAGTCTTGGATTATACAATCTTTTCCACAAACTATTTGATCAGATTTGAGGGGAGGGGATGCTGGGAACCTCACCACGGACAGGATCTCTGCACTGTGCTGTGTGGCCTGACTGGAGTTCTGTCTGATGCTGCATCAACTTGGGGTTCCCAGCATCAGAAAGGACTGAAGTTATGACTTGCTATCACCTTTTCTAATGTGTTAATAAAAGTAATCTTTCTTGATAAAGTCTGTGCATTTGTTGGGGGATTCAAACAGAATCAGCACCTCCTGGTGCAAAAATGGAGACAATACACCTGTTTGTCATTTCAAGTTATTAGTGAGGCAAAATTTATTTTCTACACATCACAGTTATCCAAATTGCTATATACTGGGTCCAACAGTAGGGAAAAAAAAATAGTAAGAGTGTTACAAGACAACTATTACACCTTTTTTAGAAGGTTGCTATTAGTCTTTCACACTGCCATGTTAAAAGGGAACAGCAGGATACATCAGCTCAGTTATCAAAACCAGAAGAACTACAACACAAAAGCAGTCAGACTCGAGACAGAATCCTATGACTTGCCCTCCCAGACTAGGCAGGGTTTTTCTACTTTGGTGCCCTATCTCCAGAAATGACCCATACAGCTTGCTTCAGGAAGCATCACATTTTTTAACATATTAAAAAACCTCCCTGATATTGTGTTATTCAAAAGTGCAGTAAAACCTAAAACATAATGTCACCACACATTAACAAGTCCAAAGAAGTCTTTTTAGCAGACAGAAGTATTATGAAAATTTGTGAAGATACTGTTATTGCCTGTTACACCTGTTAATAACCATGATAGTAATTTCTTTGAGGGCAAGTCATCTCCAAATCCAAAGTGTTCATTTCCTTAAGCATCTTGAATAGTCTGTGGGCTTCTACCTACTGCTTTTAAAACACAAGAAATAGAAAAGTTCAGAAGAACACCCAAGGATTGAGCTGGCCAAAAAAAATTTGATTCTGACTTTGTGTTGGCAGCTTCCATCATCTCTTAACTGACTACATACCAATGACAATGTTCATGGTTGCAGTTACTATATTCTAGTATAACAATATCCCTCATTTAAAAAAAAGGTTTCAAATATTGGCAAGCTTGAAGGAAGGAAGCAAAAAGAAAAGAACAACTCCTCCAGGAGACTGCAACAAAAAGCACACAGAATTCAAGAAGAATGAGACTGCATGCACAGATGCAAAAAGGCACATTTAGGGACACAAACTCATCTCTCAGTATGGGCTGGGGTAGGGTCAAAGGAAGTGCAAGTTTCCAAAACAGAACAAGTGGCATATGTATGGGGGAAGAAACAAGGAAATCCTTCAGTAAAATAAATTTAGATACCAGAAAAAACAAGACATAGCTAAAGTCCTAACCCCAATTTCTTTCTTGTCTGTCAGTAACACTCTAACAAGTTCTCCTATGCTTCTGAACTCACAAAATGCTGCCCAAATTAACAGAATACAGTATTTTTTGACAAATCTAGTTATGAGATGTCACCAATGGATTAATATGCAGCCTAGCATTCCTTGATCTATATTCTCTATCACACCCATTAGCAACTTGAAAATAATCCTGAATTTTCAGGCTTTTGTCCAAAATCTCAAAAGGTTTCATCTTCTATTTCTCCTGTTGCATACTTCCACATTGACATGACACATCATTGATCAGCAGTACTCAGGACAACACACAGATCCCCTCATCAATGCTTCAGATCCCAGGGAGGCCTATACAGATAGAAATTCTCATGCGCAAAGTAAGGACCTTCATTCAGGCTTAAACATTAAAGAATGTCCCAAGCCAATCCTTCAGACATTTATTACCTGGCTCTGATTTCAACTATATTGGATCCTGCAGCTTTGATCTGTCAGCTGCAGCAAAACTACTTTCACATTGTCACCTGGAGTTTTACTAGGTAAAACTTAATCAGTTACTGCTGCTGTGCTGCCTTACAGCAGAGACTGCAGACCTTAGAAAACAGCTGAAAGAAACTGAGAGAAAGGTGTGAAATATATGGAGGAAGCTATATTTAGTGCTTTATTTTAGCAATTTAGTTCAGTCCAGGCGTGTAGTTTAAGCATATCATATTCTTGGATACACAATGCACTCCAAACGCTCACTGGAAGCTCAGTGCACAGGACCAGGCTAGCCTCAGTTCTGGGGGTAGGATATAGCACTGCCGTAGCATGCCAACGTAAGACGTGCTACCATTTCAGCTGCAGGAAATAAAACATTTGAAGCATAACAAAGTCATCAGAATACATGAACTGAAGCACTGATCCATCCTTACTGAAGCTGTGATGCAGTAAATCTGCTCAAGAGAGGTGAAAATCTCTCCTACAAACCCATCTATGTTATTTATCTACCAGAAAAAAACCACTGCTATTTATAACCATACTGAGAAACGTTCCAGGAAAAGTTACCTGTTTGAAGGGAGTAAATTAGCTTGTTTTGTGCACTCTTCTATGTATGTACTCATCCGGTTCCCCATGTGGTATAATGAATGGCATCACTTTTTCCACCAAGTGATCAAGGGAGACCTGATATTGCTATTATGGGTCTTCAGTAATACTGTCTAGCAATAAAATATTGATATAAGTTTCTTCTACCGTACTATTACAGGTGCTTTTTATGGAGGAAATTGCTAGCCATTTTTAATAGCAGTGCCTCATTTATTTCAACATTTAAATCAAGAAAGAGGGCTCACCTTTCGGGAGGAGAGCTACGTGCATACTAAATAAACACAGAATAAACACCTTATCAACCTGGCTGGGAAGATTAGTTTTTGGGTTTTTAAGAACTTTTATGAGGTAGATTAAAATTTAGTACTAATGTTTCTGTTATGTGATATATTTAAGATTTTATGTAAATAGTCTTTCAACCAAAGCATCACAAAAAATTGCCATTTAACACTTGCATGTAATATCATTGCAGTTTGCAGATGAATTAAAAAAAAAAAAAAAATTCACATCAGTAGCCCGAATTCAAAACCTGAAGCAATCCTGCTGAAAGTTTAACTCCAAATCATTGTTTTTTAAATAAGAAGCTACATTTTTTTTTTTAACTCACTGAACATTTGGTCTCTCTGGTTTAAAAAAATAGGAATTGGAATTTAAAAAATATATTCTGTTTTGTGTATCTGTAGAAATAGTTTTGACCAAAACAGTCATATGCACAAAATAATAGAAATGTGCTTAAAGATCAGAAGATATTACAAGCAAAGAAGCCTTAAAGCGCAGTCTTCCCTATTAGTTTTGAAACCAAGAATTCAACAAATATTTCAGATGGCTGATATCAGTATTGGAAAGAACATCCATCAAAGGATACATGTAACAGCTTTTCCTCCAAACACACTGAGTAAGTTTCCAAGTTTCATAATAAACAGCAACACAGTTCAGAAATGCCAGAAGCATAACATGTTTCCTAAGTACCCTTTAATATTCTCTTGATAGCTTATCAATAGTTACAGTAATCTCTGGTATTTCCTTCATAAGTCAGCTACTTCGCATTACATTCTTTTTGGGGAGGGGTGAAGTATTTCAAGATCCATTCTCACAACATGGATTCTGAGATCACTGTCAACACAGCACACTACAAAGATATCTTTCTAGAAACACAGAAGACTTCAGCCACTTGGAAGCATGGATATTTTGAATACCATAACTTAAATCTGATATTCTTATTTAATAACTTTAGCACACAGCCAACAGGTTGTTTTAGCACCTCAAATAAAAACGAGCCATTTAAGGAAAAAGAGTGTTCCTGGAAATAGAATCCCAGTTTTGTCCTACCGTACCAAACAGTAATACAGAAGATGAGCAATTCAAGTCAGAACACTCAAATTCACCAAGGTAAAGCTGTTTTAACAATAATATTAAATAACTTAAATTTTAAAAATTGGCCTCTCAATTCACATTTTCTCCTATTGGCACAGCTATACATACCGCTGTTTGACATTTGAAAAAGATTGTTCTTCTCAAACTTCTTGAAGACACTTCCTTTTATTTCAACGAACTGCAATTTTAAAAAACAGTTAAGTTTTTATTGATAAAAACTGATATAAACAAATCAGACAATTAAATAATATGCAAATAGTCATATGGTACACAAAGATGAAGGATGCTTAAAAAAATTAGGATAGCTATATAATACAGCGACATACTTACATTATTGGACATCATGATGGTAAGTAGTGATTTATTGTGGGAGTTGAAGGCCACATTAAGAGTTGTTGCTTGAACCATTATAAGAATAGCATGCAGGACTAGATAGCAGAGTTAAGGAAGCATGTTTGGAAATAACTTTCCTGCACAACAGTATTGAACAGCACCAAAACTCAAATTTCCTATTTTGTTTCCAAAGTTTGACAAAAAAGTTTCTATCTCGCTGTTAATTAGATTTACAGCAAGACAGTACTTTAACATATGTAATGTACCCACAGTGCTTTGTAGCATGTGTTAATTATGTTATTTTCTCTTGTTCTAAAAGAGCCCAGTGACATTAGTCAGGAGAAACGCCAATACAACCTAAAGGAAAAAAATCTGAGATAAACAAAGATTCAGAATTAACCTAAAGATTTTGGAGAAAACAGGGGTAAGTACAAGAACTCTAAATTCATCACCACATCTATCAGACTATGTATCTCTTTACAGACCATTTTCATCAGTTCACTGTAAGGTTACTTCACAATAGACTCATTTCCACCCTGAGTATGCACTAGTTTATCCCTTCATTTAAAAAAATGTTTTCAAGCTAGGTGACTGCAACATTCCACTAAATAACAAAACCCCACTGTCTTCAAGACCCTGTGACCCAAAATGCTCAAATACAAATCAGAAATCAAAGTTTCCTTGAACTATCCAATTACTGGTTTTCATTTTACTGCATATTAAGTATTAAAAAAGCTGTCTACTACTGCAGTGGTATACCATTACAAAGGGGTTTTTTTAAAGCAAGTTAAAAGGATTTTCCCATTCATTCTAAAAACCTGTAGTACTGGCAACCTTACTTTGAAATTAAAGGAACACTGATTTAGGAATACTAGAAATTTTTCAAATATATTAACATAAAATAAATTACAGAGTAATTGCCCTGCTTAATTTAGAAAATTCTCCAATTTAATGAAGAAAAAGGATACAGACATAGAGCACTGCCATGAAGAAGTGAGGAATCACACCTATGTGAGCTCTTTTCCTTTCCTTAGGTTCTGTAGCTGTCCAATAAAGAGCATCCAAAATATCTTGTCCAAATGAAGAAAACAGACGATCAGCCACCTAAACAGGAAGAACTTTTTACTGCCTTAAAGCAATGTTTTTCTCTCTAACACTTGAATATGCCACCTTAAGTACAAATCAACCTAAAACGTTTCACATATTTATCACTTTCCATCTCTTGTTCATTCCATTTCCACTCTGGATTTCACAGTGATCTTGTTCCTTTTGCGTACTCAGCAGCTTACTTTCCCTCTCAAATTTACTATTCCCTTTCCAACAGTATTTACAGTATATAACCACGTAGTGTTATCTTAGATGCTTCCTTGGAAGACATCCAAGTACAGTTCAAACTTCAGTCATTGATAAAGGCAATATGCACACTGCCTCAAACTATCATAAATGTTTATTCTCATCCCTCTGGGTTTAATAGAGGGAAAAAAAAAAAAAAAGTCGATTTCAGATGTGTAATGGGGAACAACATCAGCTTACAGGCAGAAAAAGGACTGAAATTAGATTTGGCTGTACTGTTTTCTTACATCTTTGAATGAAGTATATACTCAATATAAATCTCTGCATAAAGCAGAATGCAAAATTAAAAGTACTGTAACACAACAGCAAATTATCAAGAGGGACTAGAAATTCTGCCAAATACGGAAAATTAGTTTTAAAAAACTACAAATATCTGAAGTATAACCCAAAGAATATATGCACAAGTAGGAAAAAAAACCTAGCAATAATTCTGAAGAGAGGAAAAACATAGACAGCAATCTGAGTTTGCAATTCAATACCACAGCAAAAACGGTCACATGGAGTTCCAACAGTTTTTAACACTTTATCATCACCAAGTATGTGAAACTGAAGATCATTAAAAGGAATGACTTTTTCCTGTCTATACACTACAGTTCAATAATTTTAAAAATAAGCTGCACAGAACAACAAAATTAGCACTTCAAACATTGAATGTGGTATCACAAGACATACGTCTGGCTAAAAAAAAAAAGGAGGTATCTTTCATTGCTTCCTAACTCAACTAAAGGGAAATATGAAAAACTGATTATCTCTACTTAAAGACAAGTGATATTTCCTCCTATTGTCTTTCTGTAAGACAACAATTTTAGACATGTTAAAACAACATGAGACAATATAGAACTAGGTGCATGATGTAATTCCAAGTATTGAACCATACCTATTAACTAGAAAATGAGTTCTTGGGACAACATAAGTAAACGTAGATTTGGGATCATTTCGTAACTTTGTTAATTAAGAGTTCTAAAGGTAAAGACACCGAAGGGAGAGAAATCCTTTAACTTATTCAAGCCAACATTTATTGAAGTTTCCTAAAATATGAAGGCTGAATTAAAGCTAATTTTCATTGGATGTCTTAAGTAAACTGTACTATACGCTACTTCTTAAGCATCACCTATGAATTTTTTGAAAAACCATAAGCTGATAAATTATCATAAACCTGAAGTTCAAACACCCATCAATTTGAGAGATATTTACAGTGGTATTGTTTTCGGCTTTTGAATTTTGTAAATTAAGGTGGTCTGCATTATTTGGTTCCTGCTCATTGTGATGACCCACTGAGTAATTACACCTGGTGTAGTAATACCAACTACAGAATGCTCAGAGTTTGGTAAGTTTTTGTTCACAATATTGTGAGGGTTTTAACAAATAAAATGGTGGCTTTGCTTTCTGTTTTATTTTAGCAGTCCTTGTTTCTTAGCTGACAGGACAGAAAATATTAAAACCCACCACACAATATTGTTGCTTGCTTTTCCAAATATGACTTACCTAAACCCTACATGCCGGCTCCAGGCTCCAGCAGAATTCCATGGTGAGTGCTGTCACCAGCGTAACGCACACTGGGGCTTCACAAGGAGCAGGAGCCGGTGGGTCTGAATCTAAAAAAGAAAAGTGTCATTTAAGCCAAATGTGCTGAATGCTCCCCTTAGGCTGTCTATGTGGAGCATTCAGCACATAATTTGAAGATTTTGCATTCTTCATGTCTGTCCAGGACAACATTCCCTGGACTAGCCAACAGCCGAAAACATTAGGACATTGTAAACATCTCGGTTGCTCAGTGATTTAACTGAATTAAAAAGATCTTCCTATTTTGAAGACTTGTGAAAATGTAAAGTTTATTACTTTTTAAAAACTGTGTTCAACTGTTCTTTAAAAAGCCTGGCTTGCTTTAGTAGCTAAGACTTACAACAAAATTCAGTGAAGTATTCTAAGCAAGCCAATATTCAAACTGTTGAAAGCTGACTATCAACCAAGTCTTTCAGTGAGTGGGATCCCAAGACATTTTGCCAATATAGTGGCTGCAACCTATCACAGTAAAAAAGCCCCTTAAAAAAACATGCCTTCTGCTCGCCATGTTGGGTTTCATGAGACACCATGGAAATTAAATACCAGTTCCAACTTCCAAGTCTAATGTAATTTTTCCAATAACTATGAGTGATAACAGACTTCGCCTTTTTCATAAAAATAAAGAAACTCAGGCAGCACTTCTTAGTTGAGACACACACTTTTCGTTCTGCCAAACATAGCAAAGAAACTCAACTCTCCTCCTCTACATTCAGAATGGAATGGCACGTGGCTTCCAATTCACAGAAAAGGCTGCAGTCTCTCTTCAAATTACATGGTAAGCACAAAGTGCTGTATTTTCTCAGCTTTAGGAGAAGTGACTTGAAGTAGTCTTGAAATAGAGAAATTACTATTTTGAGCACATGGATTTATTTAGTAAGTGATAATTTCTCATAGATTATGGAACTATATATGGGTATTTCCCAACACAACTGAAATCCACATAGTAACAGTGCCAATTTAGTATCTGTACATGTTTTTCAGCAAATCTAACATTGAAGGAAACAAAACCCTATGAATAAACAACTGAGGTGGCTTGTATGCTATTTATTTCACTTAGCACAACGATGTGTGTTCCCTATGCAACATTTTCATATTTTATGAGGAAAGAAAGATGTCTTTAGACAAAATATTCAGATTTTGAACAAGTGTAGCCTCATTTTAGCAGTCTTCAAGGGTACAACAGATGTTCAAACAAGGATTAACACGTTATTCAGAGATCCTAGAATCCTAGTAGAGTAACTCTTGTGTACAAAGCTCTGAGTCCTTTTAAGAGGTTGTATTCCTAGTATGTCCTGTATTTGTAGAATGGAGATAAGATTGTAGCTATGAAAACATTATTTACTTTGTGAATAATTGATCATAGAAGTGCAATTAAAAATCTCATGCAGAAAAAATCCCCACCCCCACCCCCCCCCCCGAATTTATCTTTATTTTACCTCCCAAACAAGAATTTCCTTTTCTTGTTTCACTATATTCATTCAACTATGTGCTCAGGCTTTTTTTCTGCTGGCCACAACTGTGACAGGTTAAGCAGTAACATGTGTCCTTGCATACAGTGAAAGCTATACTTCCATAATGAAGAATTAAAAACCAAATTCCATGTCTTCTACCATCTTCCTTCTCTGTTCTCTCTCAGGATCTTAGCAGTATTTCAAATCAATCCTACCTATTTTTGTCAATGAGTTCTAAACCTCATTCATTCCACTTCTCGAATCTCAATTTAAGACAAGTCTTCTTCCATTTCCAGTTCTCAATTTTCATTCAACTGAATTGACTAGTAAGGTCCAGAAACTAAGCAATATGAAACAATATCTACAAAACTTATTTTTCATGGACTTGTCTATTTCACTGCATCTAGGCTTATTATTATGGATGTGTGCACATCTGAGAATATGAGATGTACCCTATTTCAAGTACATATAATATTTTAGTCTGTAATACAATAATATTTTAGTCTGAAAAAATCATGCTTGATATTCTGATGCCAACATTCTTACCTCAAGCATGTTATAGATGATGTAGAGCTTTATGACAGACTGTCCCCTTATCAGATGATACATCATAGAGTAGTCAACATAGTGCATCATGAAGTAGCAGATGACCAATATAACTCCTTTGAGAATGTCACATACCTGAGCAGGTTGTAGCAAACGTCTATCACTGAAATACAAAGGGCAAAAAGTTCCACTAAATGTCATATACCCACAAAAATAGAAATGTTATCAAGTCAATAGGACTTACAGCAGCTGTTAATCCAGGATATATTTTAACTTAGTTTATTACTGTCCCTTCCCCTGTCCCTCACTCCAACACATAAGGAACACCATGACACATTTATAGATCGCACTTCTGCACAGGACCACATTCTCTTATCTGCCACATCCATTTAGTTCAAATACTGTATTTCTTGGGTAAGAGCTCCCACTTGTTAAAAATGTTCTGCATGCATGTCCTTTGGTTTTTAATTTACCCTCCCTCTTTCAGCCAATTCTACTTATCATTTTGAACTTCCTCAGTTACAGAAATTGCATTTGCTGTAACCAAAAGAAAAACAAAAGAAGCAGGCATCTTCAATTTCAGTATAATGAACCAGATGCTGAGGAACAGGTTATAAATGCAATTCCATATCTGCTTGTAGCTCTAAGCTCTGCAGCAGTAAATGCAAACAATTTGACATCAGAGCTTGAGGTTGATCTTGAAGCAATACAGAAGTTTTCTATCTATAGTTCCATAAGTAACCCAGAAGACTAAATGAATCATTACAGACTTTCATCCTATAAACTAAAACTACAGGAAGAAAATAGCTTTATCGGAATTGCCATAATAGCGGCCGTAAACATAATGAATTTGCAAGGCAGTATTTACTTGTCTACTTAGTTTAGTATTAATAGGATAGAAAACATTTAAAAAACCTTCAAAGTAAATCAAAAGGTTATTTGAGAACTAAATATACACACAAAAAAAATAGAGAAATAATTTCTATTGCAGGTACTTATTTTTAATATACACTGAAAGGCTTTTGCAGAAGTTAGTTTCACAAAAGGTGGAACCAATTAGCAGAATACAAGTTATGAATTTTCATTTTCTGGATTCTTAAATCACTAGGTTATCCAGAAATTAGACAATGCTCCCATAGACTGATAACCTGATTAGAAAAAATTTAAAGTTGATAAAAATTCATGCTATTTTAAAAAAAACATCTGAACAGTTAATTATAACTTCTGGGAGTCAAGACATTCTACACACCCTGCAGACAAGTCAAAAATCCCAGCTACCTGACTCATTCTATTTAAGTACAACATCAGAGCTAGACTGTTATACCTCAGGTGTGTTTGTTGCCTTCCATTTAAAAGAAAAAAGCCTCGAAGACAGCATTCATGCATTATAACACACAGAACCACACAGTATAATTCTACAATGGGCAAAAAGATCATGATCATTCTAGGAATATAAGCAAGAAAGTTTCCAGAACTCTCAGATTTATAGTATCACACTTAGAACACAGAGCAACTGCTCCTTTTATTATATAGTTTTTACTGCATAATCTGTATTAAAATTAATTACATTATGTATAATAGAATTCACCTGGTCCAGCAGCACAACAGAATTGCTTAGAGTGGCTTTCTGACCCTAAGAGACATTTTCTTGCTCTCAGAAGTCATCCAGTAACAGTAATCACACCAACATTTTATTTAAGACCAAGTCCTTGACAAAAAGCCTCAACGAATTTTCTTCCTCCCCTGCACTGTCCCCTGAATTGAGTTTTAACTGAAAATACCAACTTAAAAACTTAAAGAAACCTAAGTGTCCATTTTCCAGAACATCCAGTATTTGCCTGCTGCTTAAAGAACCTATGACTATGCCCTTGAATGATACACAAAAAAATGCACCCTGTCCAACCCACAAAATTACATTCTGAAAGTTTATTGCCCTATTTAAATACATCTGACCTAAATGATTATACTTATTTAAATATATTAGCATATATTGAAACATTTATAGGATTTAAGCAAGCCCATGATGATGATTACCATTCATACACTGAGTAACACAGCATGTTCCTTTTTCTCCAACCTACTTCAGTTTTGGAAGTGTAGTCAGTCAGTTCAGTATAAGGCCCCGAGTCAACACTCATATTCCACAATACAGATTGGGATAAAGTAGTAAATGTAATATTACTCCACAACAGTAATGCCAGGTCTTAGCATTTGGAAAAGAGAAGCAGAATTTGTTACTCAGAAAATTAGCATCTTCATTCTTCCAGCTAACACCTACCTTGTCATTAGAGAAGTAGTGAGTACCTGGTAGAGAAAACCTGACTAGCAAGAGACATCTACTTCAAAAGTCTGTTATAAAAGTTTGGCAAAGTACCAGTTTTTATGATGGGATGCTCTCTTGTTGAAAAATGCACTAGTAAGCAGAACCTGTTTATGAAGTTTCTGAAGCAGTCCAGAAAGATTCTCACAGGAAAATGCTTTGATGTCTACAAATCAATACAGACTGAAAATTACGTTACAGGTCTCCTGGCTTACAAATAACATCCAAGATGCTCAACCACACGTACAGTCACAAGTCGCAGTTACTCTGTACTCTTAACCTTATCACTCTTCTGCTTGTGTTGATTTTTATCAGTATGGCTACACTCGCTTGAGTAAAACCAACTCAGGGGAAGCCAATGTAAAAGCAGACAGCAGCAATCACAGGGGAATACAAACTCTAAGAACAGACTACACACAATCAAAAGCAAAACTGCTCATCTAAAGGTGGCCTCTACTCTGAAAACTAACTCAGGAGAATAATGCCATATGAAGGTGCATCCAAACTTGCACACAGCATCCTATATTCTAGAAAGATGAAGATATTTTGAGAATGTGCTGTGTACAAAACAAACTGAATATCACTATGGTTCAATTCAAAGGCTGCCAAAAGGGTCAGATCAACTACACTTGATTGCTGTGCCTTACAGGAATTAAGCTTTTGTAGAATAGAGTACATTCAAACAATGTTTTTAAAGAATCTGACCTCTCAAAGTGACTTGGGTTTAGTTTCTCAGTAGTCTGGAGAGCTAGAAAAAACTGCAGTAAACACTCCATTATTTTTTTCTGATGTTTTAACTAAAAATATACTCTACTAATGTTCTATTCAAAAGTTGTGCAATAACTTCTCGTGCTTCTCATCCACATGAGAAGCAGAACCAACAGTAATGCTGTGACAACTTCTTCAAAACAAGTCACAAAAAATATCCTTACTGTTTCAATTTATTCAGTTTGATGACAGAAGAGCTGTCCCCGTCTCTAACCCCTAGCCACTACAAGGGATTTCTGCAAAGGTTGAGTACAAAGAACTGCTTTCTAGATAATTAAAAGAATAAGAAGATCCTGGAATTTAAAACGTATTCCAGTGTTCTTTCATTGTACACTGAGACAGACCCCTTCATATTAACTAGGCAAATAATCTATGGTCTACAACTGACACATTTCCGATTGAGAGAGATTAACCATGACTACTGCATAAATCCACAAAAGCACTTTTATTGCAGCAGAACCCTTTTCCACTCTGGCTATTAACATTTACAAAAGGATTTTGAGGTGTGGCTCTGAATATAATATGGGATAAAGATAATTATTTCCTAGAAAGACAAGGAAGTCAAGTAAATGGATTAAGTCTAATGATTTGACACCTTTCGGCAAATACACAGAACTAACTGCAAAGCCTACAGTTATGAAATGATGTAGTCAGCGTTCAGTGAGAACTGAACACTGCAGTTTTAATATATGATCAGGCTCACATTGGTTCAATCTGTATTTGTGACAAATCATTCTTATCCTTTGCATTAAACTGTTTAATACCTATAAATATAGGCTGATGGGATTTTATGCCTGTCATAAAAAGTCTTAGCCCACCCATTACATTTTCTGCATTGTTTTCTCAATATATGTTTCTAGTTATTGTCTCCAGTAACTACTCAGTGCCAACACTGGAAAGTACTTTCAAAACAATTCTGAGCACTAAGTAATCAGACCTTGTAATTAATATCACAGACAAATTCATAATGCTGTATTCATCCATACCATGAGTACCACAGAATCTCAGAGAAAAAAAAAAAAAAAAACACAAAAAAACCCCCAAAACAAGCAAAAAAAAACACCACAGAAAAAAAGCTGGTATTAACCAAGCTATGACAACTATAAAAATGTCAAGAAACAAACAAGAAATACATGGCATAGTGCTGGTAATACTTTCAATATCTCATTTGAAAATAGGAAGCCAAGAAGTAAGAACTAGACAATACTGGGCTACTGGACAACTCCAGAAACCACTGAACAGACATACAAGAAGCTGAAACAGCTTAGCTCACTTCAAAAGACTGCATTTTTACAGTTGTGCATGAAGTGTGACAGAATACAGAGGGAAACATTTCACGCGAAAATTTGTTACGGCAGTTTTTTCTCATGAGTGAGAAAAGGAGAATAATAAATAAAGAGCATAAGAACTATCTTACTATATGTGGTTACAAGACAGCAAGTTGTAGAATTTTCCTACAGATATCAGTTGTTTTTTTCCTCCAAAGCTACCTCAGGAATACAGTGATGCTGCAGAAGTGAATTAAATATTAACGTTCCCAGCCCTAGTGAACTCCACTCTTAAAAGACAGTATCATAAGAACCTTTGTCCAGGACACAGTTCCTCTAATATGCTACTGGATTCCAGAAATAATGTTATGTGAATTGTTTCACAATTTGGCTGATTACACAGTTGAATATAAATTACAACTTTCACATCTCTTAAATCAGTAAATATAAGGGTTGAGGGCATTTGGACTGTCCTTGAAATGCACCTTATTAAGATACATAGTTTCTGTCTTTTCACCTAATTATTTTCTGCCATTATTCCATTACTAATTCTAACATTTTTGCTGTAAGTCATTGTTCTCCAAGACACTCATTATAAATTTTTACAAGTTGTTTCAGTATGCTAAGCCTCAAGTTCCCACATTTAGCTGTATAGACTAGACTACCAAGGAATCAAATTTTTAAATTAAACTTCTTCAAACATCAAATTACCTCAATAATAAAGAGTAAGGCTTATCCATCCCTTGTATTATCTGCTACATAAAATCTTGTACTGCTTTATTACTACTACTACCACTGAATACACCAATCTGTTTAAACATGACATGATCCTTCAATCTGCATGAATTCAGAGTGAAAATCCAAGCATTCTTCCACAGATAAACTCTCTCACACTTTAACACTAACTAGCAAATTAAGACAACACAGAAAAAACATACACAGGGACTTCCAATATTCTACAGCAGGTACTTAACAAGATGTTCAAACTCCTCAACCTTTGGGTATATTCACCATCACGTCTACTGACTAACAGAAAATCTCCACTGAAACAAACCCTTATGCCTGCAAATAATGTAATTATGAAATGCATGTTTAAGGGGATATACGAGCTTATTATTCATTTTAATATAAGAAACTGATGTGTAAGCCTTACTACTGCACCTCCCGATTCCACCACACCATGCTTCTGTTTCAGCTCAGTAAATTAACAAAAGGAGAAGCATGCCAAGCTTAGTGCTTGTTATGCAGTGTCTGAGGCAGCTGAAAGTGAAACTGTGGCAAAATCTATACAGTGCACTGATAGCAACCAAGAACTATGGACTCGGAAAACCAGTCTGCTACAGAAAAAAATTACTTTTCTTCAACACAATTCATAAGCTCAAGGTTTAATGCTCATGCTTCAAGCTTTCCCATTTATGGTTTGTCCACCTTAAAAGACATTTAGAAAGTGTGAGTCCAAGTTTTTTCTGTTTAGAAAACCACTGGATCTGTATATGTCCCTCCCCCTTTAGAAAGCTAAAAATAAGCAACTTCCTTTATGAATAGTTATGAAGAATTACTTTGCTATTCTATAAAATTAAATTACTATCAAATTACAATATTCTAAAATATTCTGGCTACTCACAAGTTTGTTCTACACATTTTAGGTCCAACAATAAAAAAATATAAAAATTTTCATGAATACTTGTGGTATTTGTAAGAAAATCCACTTTAAGTGTTACAAAATTAAGTGAAACTTATTTCAAGCTATACATAAACCAGCTACCCAGTGAAGAACAATTTGCTATGAAAAACAGTGTTCTTCATAAACAATCTCCTCAGAGAAGTGAAACTTTAAGGAACTAGTTACCTGACTGTCATTTTCAAGGTATGTCTATTTGATACCATATTTGAAAAGGCCACATTTCATACAGTAATAACAGTTCTGTCTCCATCTACTGGTTGGAAAACAGGAGGTTCAATCATTCATAAGGACTATGACCATACAAATAGTCTTACTACTGATATATAAAGTTTGTGAATGTTTCAACTGAACAGCGTGTTGGTGTTATTAAAGAAGCAAAAGAGCTCAAGGCTTTCAATGTACTGGTATCTACCCCACCAATCCCCTTTTTGTTCCAACAGCTGTACAATTAAAGTTATTCAGCAGTAAGTAAAGAATTATTAAAAATAAATCACAGTTTATTGATATTTGACTTTAATATGTTACACAAGTAGCTAATGCACAAGTTTGCTTAAGTGACCGACTTCTGAAAAAAAGAAGATAGGGTGTGAAGTGTTTTAATAAACCTTGCTTATTGAACTTAAAGTTATTAAACCATTTGGAACATAAAATACACTCCAGGACAAACAGGAATTTGTTCTTATTATAAAAAAAAAATCTCAATAGAGTTGTCTACTGTGTGATTTTCAGCAACTGTCATTGCAAAATGAACGTTTTCACTATATAGTATACAAAGTAACCTGTAGACAAGTATAGTTGTCAGAGTACTTAACTACTTCAACATCCAAGGCATAAGCACTCTACATACATTATTTTAAACTCATCTCTGCACACTGTCATATGCTATCATGCAACTTCTTTGCTTCTGTCTTTCAGGATTTCTGGTGCTCCTCAATTCTTCACTGCTCTGATTATATATGGTTTTCCAGTCACCTTGTACAGTTGTTTGGTTTTTGGCTGTTGTTTTTTGGTGGGGTTTTTGTTGGTGTTTTTTTTTTGTTTGTTTGTTTTTGTTTTGTTTTGTTTGGTTGTTTGTTTTGTTTTTTGTTTGTTTTTTTTTTTTTTTAAACCAACAGAATTCAACATATTTCTTGTTTAATTTTACAGTTTACTGGATTTTTAATCAGTTCCTTTAGTACAGTCTCATCCAAAATAATTCAGATTACTCTAAACAATTACTCCTTCATAGTTAGCACAGACAAAATTTCCAATACTGATGTCACAGACAATAATTTAAATATATGAATACACTATCATTGCAATAATGCTTTAGATTAGTATTTTAATCTATAATGAACTTAACCACCTGAATACATATACATTTATAAACCCTTAAGATAACAATATTATTTCTATAAATGTTATTGTACCTCACACTATTAAAAAAACATATTCATTTATATAGGTTTATTGTTTGGTTAATAATGCACTGAAGAAGTGTTTTAACACTGAGGTTTCAAGTTTGAACAAGTATTTTACAAAGCTTTTCAAAATGTATTATTTATTCAGTATTAACACTTTGAAATAGACAAGCACTATTATATTAATTATATAATATATTTCAGGTATTGAAATGGTGGTCTAGTTAAAGTTTTGTTTCGATATCTTTTCTTTCTCCATTTTTACAACACAGATACCTATATGGAAACTGAACTGTGGGATTTTGTTTTACATGCAGATATTTTGATCAAAGCCTTAATCCTTCAATGTATCTTTTGTTAGCGAACTGTGTATAATACATTTTTAATCTTATATGAAGCATTAACAGGAATGATCAGATTAACACCTAAGGGGGATATTTTCCTGTTAGTGTACTAAGTAAAGATGTCAGGGAAAACAAAAACTAAGTGAGTTTATCTCAAGAGCATACTTACCCATATAGCTAAACACGAAGAATTTTCAAAATGTGCAAAGTGATCAGTTGGGAATATTTTCCTATAATTATGCTCAAGTTTGGAATTAAGTTTGGCTTCAGGTACGAAAAACTATTTTGATCATATCTAACATCCAGTTTGAGACTTCAAAAAGAGATACAGTTTACAGTATGCAGGACTTCACGGTTGTAAAATTGTAAGGTGTACAGACTAAGTGCTCATAAAAATATGTCCCCAAATGAAGACTTCAAAGATAGAGAGCTGAGTTTGCCAAGATTAGATGGCATTTCATTCGTCAAACAATAAAAAGCCTCTACATGCACACGACACAGCACAAGACCATGCTAAGAATGAAACGAAACCAACCTTGCTGTTAGGCCCCGATGAGAGCTGTCTCAAAATAAATGAAAAAAAAATGAGGTTTCAAAGAAGTGACAACTAGAATTAGCTTTCATTGTTTTAATAACAGAATCATCTGTAACTGAAGCCAGCAAATGAAAATACGCTGAAGTGCTGTATTGTATTTTGCAGAAAATCAACTTCAAGTCCAATACTAAGATACCTGGCAATGAACCTTCAGAACTCCCCCAAATTTATGTTAAGCATTACAAAAATCCTGCTTGAAGTACACACAAAAATATATCTATGAACCTGACTGAAGCATTACTCAGAATAAATGCAAAAAAGCTTAAGGCACTATAAACTAAGTAGAGCAGGGGCTATAGTTTTTCCAAGATACTCTATTTTAAATTGGGCCGAAGTGGTCAACAGGCACTCTACGTAAAAATGTTTTAAATCTATTAAGTTCACAACTTATTTCCACAGAGATGTGAAGTTACAAATGAAAACATACCTACCATATATAGCACTGAATCAATTTCATGTGTTGGTTATTAAAACTGTTGGTATCTCCTTTGAAGTATGTTGGTTAATTTAGCTATACTGTTAATCTGTAATCAGTCTTTTTACTGATTACATGTAGATGTATGAATTTGGCTGACAGCACAGAAGGAAAAAGAAAATCAGGATTTACTCACCAAGGAGGAATCCCTGTGACACCACATTCCATCCTATAAAGGAAGTGAAAGTGCTCTTCCCTTCGGTCTGATTTACAAGAAAGAAAGAAAGAGAAGGTTGTAATGTTGCTACACTATGCACTGTTATGGAAAGGAGAAAGGAGTACTTGATCTGAGAGTTTACTACAGAAAATACTGAATGCACCTGCCTTTTTTTGGTTGGCAGAATGCCACACATTTTGGTGGACAGGTGCACTACTTTCTCAATAAACTTAATGAAACAATAGGAAGTTTATGTATTTAACAGTTATAGCCCTTAGCAAAAAAAAAAAAAAAAATTAGGCTTGGGAATCAGTGTGCAACAGAGGTTCAAATTTATTTAATAACTTGATAATATGAACAAATAAATAATGTCTATAATAAGAATGCCAATATATTTGGTTGGTTTGGTTGTTTCTTTCCCTGAGATCCTTGCTTTCTACAGTTTCTTTCTTGAAGTAATGCTGCCCCGTTTATTTCCTACTGGAAAGTGTAAATCTATGATTTCACAGGAGGGAAACAGGAATTTTAAGAGGCACATACAATGTATCTGAAGTTAATGCTGTTATTGCTGATGGGGCCTAAATTCACTTATTTCAGGGAGAAGAGAGCAGAGTAAAAAAAAAAAACAAAACCAAACCACAGAACACATATAAACTATATCTATTTCCACATGGAAGAAATGTAAAGATCTTGTCAATCAATCTTCACATATAAGAAAACTCACAATCTACTTCTGTATTTTCCTGAAAAAAACTAGAATTTGGAGAAAAAAAAAAAAAAGACTCACTTTCCATAGCAATTCCTTATTTGCTTTGTGGTCAAGACATAAAATGCCTTTAAACGTAATTAAATTGGGAGTCCCATCAGTTTCACTAACATACTTTTAGCTTTCATATCATGGTGTTTTTCAAATAATACATAAGAGCTTTTCCACATTCCCACAAGAGCTTTTATTGGTGTGCAACATATTTTCAAGAAAAACAAAAAGTTTGCTTGTTTTGAAACACTTTTATAGAGCTAAGATACTAGCCTGCCCAGAATCTCTGGGTCTGAGGTATTAATAAAAAAAAGTGTCTGAACTGTAGAAGGAAACTGTACCTTTCAACTACAGGTAGAGTTAGTTTTAGGAACCTATCATCAAGGACTGTAATTCTGAAGAGAATTCCACCAGATCCATTTCTCTGTCTACCTTAGATATGGTGTTCCAGCAAAATATGTGCTTTTATGTTATCCAAGAATATTTTAATAAAATGAGAGTAGTTTACAAGATTCAAAGAGAATAATTTAAGAAATTTCTTTCTATGACTTTCCAAGCCTTCCATTATTTGGAAGAAAATACAGCAGAGCTGCCTTTTTTTTTTTTTCTTGGTAATTTCAGAAGATGTAATTTAATTTTGTGAAGTGTTTGTTAATTTTTTTAAGAGCACCCTGCTATTTACAGAGCACAGCAATAATGAAGTTGCACCTGCCAAAATCACCACAATCTGACAATTCAGCCTCTGCCAGTTTGACCACAGCAATTTAAGCAGCAGTTCATTTTACTTTGACAGAATCTTGGATTCTTCTGACAGAAGTTTCCAAAGTTTTAGAGTCTCTCTAAAATAGCTATGTTAACACCAATATAGCTCTGACAAATATACAGAACTAAACTTACTCAAAAGGAAAGATCAAGTGATTGGAGGTGATGACTTAGCAGTCAAACTAAAGCACTTACACTGTCTAGACAGAAAAAGGAAACAAATTTCTTTAAGATATGTTACTCTCTTCCCTTTCAGAGCTATGTAAAATGGAATATTAAAGCATGTGGAAGAGGCCATAAAGCACTCCCCCTACATTTAAGCACTGCACACAATACCACAGAGAGGAATTAACCCATCTTACATAGAATGTGGGTTTATTGTTTTAAAGAAATAGTGGGTAAATATAATCTTTTTCTATACTGAAAAGAGGAAGAGTTATGAGGAAATAAATTAACTGCAGAGTAAACTGGAAGGGAGACAGGAACACTGACTGTTCAATCACTTTACTGAGATGTTGAGAAAAAAGTCTAGATGAAGGGAGGAGCACTTTTATTTACTACACAGAATGGAATATGATGTGGCAGGTTCAAATAACAGCTAGTCATGTCTCAACACATACTTGACATTTGTGAGGAAGAGCGAGGTAAAAAGATAAACAGCCACCTGCTTTGTAAGTACCTTTTGTAATTACAGATGTTTTACCTATTGAACTTTATTTTGTTACAAAAACATAAAATATTTCCTGAGCTAGAAGAAAGCCACAAATCTTTTTTGCTGCAACAAATCAAATCAGTATAACTGGAAAAACAGCAATAACAAAATATCAAAGTGCAGGCTCTGAATATTTGGAAATAAAAATCACTGCATCTGTAAAAGTTCCATTACATAATATAAACATGAGTTGTGTACCTTTCAGTAAAAAGCCACCAACTTTAAAATATTAATGAATTAGCCAAAGCCTCAAGTAGTGAACAAATAAAGAGATTCTAAGGAAATAAATTCCATAAACATTTGAGGAAACTCTGACAAAAGAAATTGCTTCAGAAGTTGTTACAAAAACAAAGCCTTTTTCACTCAAGATAATCTCAGTTTAGCTGCATTTTATCTGATAAAACTTTAAAGCTAACACAGTAATATTGAATAGATTAAACTGGATTTTATCCTGCCTCACACACTAAAAATACTGCCAAGCAAACAGACTAAGTTAACACTGTAGGTGCGTGTACATATACACACACAGGTGAGTGTATGGAATACAATGTCACTTTCCTCAGTATATGGAATACCCGAAACCAGCAACTGGTCTTTCAAATTTTTCATCATTAACTTCAGAAGAGCAGAAAACTTGTTTGTCAAAAGCAAAGCTGAGTTTACAAACAAGGAAGAACACTTTTTAAACAGAAAAAAGTAGTAAGATACAAATGATAGGTTAAATCTATTACATTTACCTGACTTTTCGTATTTTAGTAATAGCATCCATACAGATTTTTTACAAATAGGCATATACTTGACTTGTCATCAGCTAAAACTAAATAGATGTCATATTTTTTTTTACAGTTAGGAAAACTCTTTTAACATAATGAAAGTCTGAGATTCAGCTCAAAATTAACAGCACAATAAAAATATTAGAGATTGCCACCTAGTGCCTACATTAAGCATCACCGAAGTACAAACATTTCAACTTAAGACTATACTTTAAAATATTATTTCTTTTGCAACTAGACTAGCATTTTCTCTAATCAGAACACACATTCTAACCTACACAACTAAAAGCACTTCACATACAAAGACTATTAATAATGCAAAGCGAGCAACTAAAAAAAAAAAAAATAGCTACCATAAATCAACTTCAAGTTTGGGGAGATCCAGAATGAAAACCCTGAAGTTCTTATATTTTCAATGAAAAATTACAAAATCTATACAAATAATAATTTTCTTTTAGGCTACACTTAAGGCTTACACAATCAGCTTTACTGTGAAGCAACTTTTATGAAGCAAATTAATTATATCCAATTTTTGATGCCTATGCCAGAACGGCAAACCAAAAATCCTACGTATTAGCAACTTCTTAGTATTGATCTGAACATAAAAGCAAGGAGTTAAGATCTAAATTGTCCTAATATTATTCTGATTAGTTAGTCCTATTCAGTTACTCCATAAGATTCTTCAAAGGGAAGAAAATAACACATTTTATACAGGGATTTTTTAGGCAAACTTTCCTGTGGAAATAAGGAAAACTTTTATTGTAAAAAAAAAAAAAAAATGAGAGTAGTTTACAAGATTCAAAGAGAATAATTTAAGAAATTTCTTTCTATGACTTTCCAAGCCTTCCATTATTTGGAAGAAAATACAGCAGACTTTTGTTTCAATATCAAAAGACACAAGGCAAGTCATTAACTCAAGTCTAAGAAATCTTAAAACACTGTTCAAATAGATGTTACTTAGAAGAACAAAACTACAGGGTAAGGTTACATCTCTGTCCTTTACTAACCTGAATATGCCTAAGTGGTGCTGTTATCAAACTGTTGTGTCTGAAGGAAACAACGATGACAGTTAGTGACTGGTGGCAAAGCTTAAAGGTCCCCCACACACCTTTGCTTTGGCTAGTTTAGACCAAAACTTCTATTTTACAGTGAAATAAGTTATTAGTAGTTCAAATGGCACTGAAAGTCCATAAAATTAAGCACACACATAGAGAAACATTATTTAAGGGTATCAACACCTTTCTCTTGAATCAACTTACCGTAAGCCATAGCAAGGCAAAGTGATGAACCGGATCATTGCCAGAAAAACTCTCAAAGGAAGCAGGGTGAATACATACAGAAAAGCATCCAGGCATAAAAAGATTCCAAAAAACATCAACTAAATTACAAAAATAAAACAGAGGTATGTTAGTAGATTATAAAGAGTTACAAAAAGTTTATAAAGAATTATATTATTTTATGAAAAATACATTTACATAAGACTAATTAACCAAATAAGCACAACACTTGTTCAACCAGCTGAACTGTAAGAAAAATAACATAGTATGCACTTGGAAGACTATTCAGCAGAATTTCTGCACCACAAGCTCCAAGCAGCAAAGGCTTTTGCAGACTTCCATGGCTCACTGAACTTAGTCTTTATTGAATAGAAGAATTGCACTTGGATATAACTGTAGGTCATTCTTCAATGGTGACTTTGCTCTGAGGTTACAAAAGTTAATGTTTTTACCTTAGGGAAAAAAAAAATAATTTAGAGCTGTGTATACACGTGCACAGACATTTTCTGCCTACCTCCTTTTTAATATGCCTCTTCTTCCCCACAAAAAATATTTTTTTACCTTGCTTATTTTCTATTGCACAGCTAATTACAACTGTGGTAGTTCTCCTTCAGAGAATATGCACCTTTTTCACACAAAGAAGAATATATAATATGAAGAGGTGAATTTCCAGTTGCCTTCAGTTTAAAATCCTTTATCCTTAACTTACAGAAACAGTTAAAGCCATTTCATTATATCCACAAGCCAAGCAATTCTATGATAACTAAGAGAGACCTAAACTCTGCATTTAGAAAGCTCTTGTATACCAGACTCTCCTCACATGACATTCCTTCTTTATCTGTCTCTGAACGTATCTAAGATTTACCTGAATGGGACTCTAGCCAGAGGCTTTTATACTTCTGTCAGACCAGAAGCTAGTGTTTTTTCCTGCAAGGGAAATCGTGTAAAGACAAGCTTAACTGTCTACACAATTAAGACTAGCAATATCTCAGCAGGCCTAAATATCCATGACAGATAGGTACTTACATGTGGAAGTTGTATGTCTTGCTAATGGGAAATTAAGACACTGGTTTGGGTGGGAAAAAGGTAAACCAAAGCACAAGTAAATTACTTTTATCTCCCACAATCTCTTTGCCTTTCAAAATGCCTTCTTTGTCAGCTTTTTCAACAGCCAGTTCAACAGCCGATGAGCTAGTATCCCCTATAAGTACCTTTCTCTCACTCTTACTCCTCATGCATCCCTGTAACTTTGAAAGTAATCCTACAGAGTACACTCCAGTACCCCTATCTGCAAGACACATAAGATGACGGACTCAGGCATAAGAGCACTACTATCAACTCTGCACTGTTGCTTTCCCTTATAATACTATTTCTACCGATTCTGCAGTCTGTACTTCAATACCATCATGACATTACGCTCTCTTCCCTGATTCATCTCATTCACCCCTAGTACCATTTTCTAAAATTTCAGCAAAGAGTTATCATTCAAAATTATCAGGAGTACTGGTTACAAATAATGGATTAATTTATGCACTGCATTTTAGTATCCCATTAAGTTACCTATTTCTTTGCTAACTTTTAAACCGGGTGCTGAATATCCAAGCACTGAGGATGACTGAAGCTGAATGTGTATTTTCCTTTTTTTTTTTTAAAAAAAAACTTCTTAACCCAAGCAAAACAGAAAGATTGTCTGTCATTTTGCCCCTGTATGCATTCAGGGCATCTTAACAACCTAGAAAACAATTCTGCAGTTTCCTTTTGATTTAGACTTCTCTGTCTGAGTGTAATCAGAGTTTTTCATATTCTATAAGCTCACATTAATATTTGCAATTATTGTTTAATGTCCTCATTTTCCACTACATCGCATCTGCACACTTACATATATCTGCTGAAATATAATCAGCACTGAACCTTTCACTCATTTCTGTAAACATTATTTTTGCTGCTACATTCCAGATACTGAGGAGCTAACAGAAAAGCTTACAGAGCTTTTCCATCATCATAACTATACCTTAACAAAAAAGCCCAGTTTAATTTTGAGATCAAGTGACAAGTGCTCCCCTTACAACAATCAGGAATAGGGACCACCTTCTCATTTAGTATAAATAACCTATTACAATGAAGAGCTTTCACTGAAACTGCACAAAAAGTTTGAGTGGAAGCAGCATTTACATTACAAATTATCTAGTGTCTCTAAATAAAAAAGGGGTATTCAGAACAACAACAACAAAATACTACCCTTTTAATATCACACCTCACTCAAATTATCTACATGTAATAAGCACACGTTAAAGACTATCTCCTGAGATTAGGCTTTAATAAATTTATTCCAGTTTATTCTCACTCCACCTGATTATGATTTTCATTCCTAGTCTGTAATTATACTATTAGGTAGTAAACAACAGAAGCCATCAAGAAAATTGTCTGCCTTTCCTAGTGTCTCCCATGCTTTATTTCAATGAAGCAGACTTCTGAATCACAACGTCAAGTGACTCCTGAAGTAGGTGATGATCTATACACTGTTTAGTTTGCTTTCCAGGTGCTCACCATCATGCTTTTTCAGTGAGTATGATTCAATTTGATATAGCTAGTATGCATCCTAACCTGGACTAAGCCCAAGTGAAGAACCAACGAATTTATTTCATAATCTCTCTGTAAAGAGATAACCATCCCTTTTTAAACCTACCTGCTTATTGCTCAGTTTAATATTCTTTCATATTCAAAGTACAGTCCGAAGTTTGATTTACCGTGAAAAACCCATCAATTTCACTACTTAAAGCATCGACCTTATTTATAACAGATTGTTGGCCTTGACTTGTTCTAATACACTGAAAGTTTTATTGAAAATCTATGGTGATGATCATTCAGAATAATTTCTATGGCTTGGAGACCAACGGAGATGATGTAGCACTGCTATACTGTTCAATTGAGACAACCATAACTGGAACATTCTACCATAAACTGGAATGGGTAAACAGTGAGGATGTGAAGACACCATCCCTGGAGATGATTAAAGATGAATTGGATCTGGTACTGAGCAACCTGTTGTAGGTGACCTAGCTTTACCCAAGTGCTTGGACAACATCACCTCCAGAGGTCCATCCCAACCTCATTCATTCAGTGATTTTCTGTAGTAACCAACTGTGAATTCAGTTTTGTAAAAAACAGTTCTCATCATGGTCCAAGGATGAATTTTATGATGCTGAAGGGGGAACCTGAGTGCTGTTGACAAAGTGAATTTTAGTCCTCCTCCCTCCACCACTGTTCTTTCACCTTTTTACCCTTACCCCAAGCTATACAGCTCCCCTTCCACCCTTGCGCAGGCTCTGAATTCTCAAGAATATTGGCTGAGCAAGTCACCTCACTATCCTAGCAAAGACCAAACAGAGCAAGAAAAATGAAGCATTCACTGCCAAATTATAAGCTAATTTAACTCTTAGAATGGTCCAATAAGCACCACAGCTCATGCAAAACAGGCAACATGCATAAGGCAAGAGACTAAAGTGTGAGGAACAGTCAACCAAGACTTCAATATAAGTTAAATTGATTTAGCCCTACCATGTAACTTCATCCTTAAGAGATTTTGAAAATTTCAACAGTATTACTTTTAATGTTATCCTTACCCTGCAGCCTAGCCAAACTTTATTACCAATGCTGCCTTACTCATCGTTCTTGAATGTATTCCTGCTGCTTCCCAAATCAAAATGGTTAAGCCAGAATAAAACTCTCCTCTGCATTACAGTGCCGGAATTGACGCACTGCAGGGCCAGAACTGTATCTAAGCTGATGTAAAGGAGGTGGCAGAAATACCTCAGGAAGGGCCAAAGCACTGGGATAGAGAGGGAAGATGTAATAAACAGTGGCAAAAATCAGAATAGAAGACTATGAAAATTGAGTGAAAAACCTTAGACAAAAACTCATCTATCACTATATTTTTAGAAGACTGAAATCTTCCCACCCTCAAAACATTTCAGACTGGAAAAAATCTTCAAAATTTTTTTTTTTAATGGAAAATTACATTTTGCTGTAAAAATTCTTCTTTTGCTTGACTGTTCCTTTAAGGATCAGTGTCATCTTTATATTTGAATTAATTTTTCATCATCTGGACTTGGAAGTTAGTAATTTCCATCTCTGCTAGTAACATGAGTTGCCAGCAGCAACAAGCAAAAATAGGCAAAAAAACCCAAAACACAAGTGTTTAAGCTAATAACACTGAAAATTAATCAATATAGATGTTTAAATCTTTTAGTGGCAAAAGTTTTGAAAAATAAATATTTATTGAAATAATATGATGAAACCTGTTGCATTTCTAAATTAAAACATATCTTAAAGTATACTTCACCTTTTCCAGTTCTTTCGGTATCCGCATGCATGTGTATACTCTCTCTCTCCGCTCTGTGTATTTTGCTTCATTGTGTTCAAGGAAGTAACCTCTTGTTAGCTCAGCACTGATGAATCTCAGCAATGAAAGATCTACATTCAGGAACATACATAAGCAGAAGAAACTTCAGGCATGACCTCCAAAGAATGAGAATACTGCTATGCTTTTGTTACTCGCTACATGTTTCATTTACATTGCATCTAATCCAGAAGGTTTCTGCTGATTGTAACCAGAATGTCAAATAACTTGCTATGAAAGATGCTATACGAAAAGCAAGTCCTGTGCTCTCCCATTCCCCTGTTGCCTCCCAACAAACAAAACAAGCTACTTTTCCCAGCCAATCATTTTGATCAGACATCCCGCTTCTCCAAAACATTTCTCAAAGCAGCTACACTGAATGCAAACGCTGACTGGATCTACTCCTTAATGTACTGACAGTCCTCCTAAACTTGCTAAGCTCTATTTTAGACTTCTTAAAAGCTATTTTCTCTCTCAGCAACACTAGCAACTTGTTCTTTATTTTAAAGAACAACTTTCTGTAAGATCAAATGTTCATGGATACGTGAGCCCAAGTGGTTCAGTGCACAAACAGTACAAGCATCCTGATCATTTGATGATCAGAGCAAAGTCTGTCAAGACCAAAAAGCCATCAAACACGTACAGGTCTTCTGCATTTTAATGGCCGTAGGTATATAAGCTGAAGGCTGACTGACCTATGTTTAGTTAACTCATATGGCTTCTAAAAAAGACTTTGTGCAGAGTATCCTTGCAAACAGAAATATGAACTTATAATTATGAAAATTCAGGCTGTCAGCACAAGGAGGTTGAGCTTAAGCTTCCACACTCACTGACTAGGTCTGTCAGTTACTACCACCTCCTAGTAACACTTCAGAAGTGACAGAACACTACAATAAAGTTCAACATTTCTGGTTGTTATTGGTATTTAAAAATAGAAACTCTCAGTGTTCACACTAGAATATAGATAGGAATCACTTACCTAGACAGATAGTTGAAAAGCTACAGAGCATTTATCATGACAAGAGAACATGCTCACAAATAGTAAATTCAGATTTTAGACAGTCTTAGTGACTACTGAAGGGGGAGGTAGTCCTTGCATTGTACAACGTTCCACATTTTGGGGATGGGGGAAGAAGAGGTTGTGTAACACACCCTTAGTAAAACCAGGCTCACACATAAAAGTGGTTTCTGTGCACGTAGCACACAGTGCAACTGGCACAGCTCACAGTGGTTTCTGGGCTTAGCTGTGCACGCGTGATCTGGCACAGGACCAGCGAGCCTAGGTAACAGCTGTTAAGAGGAATGCAAGTATGGATGCTATGTGTGAAGAGTTCACCCAAAACTGTCTGAGATAGCAGCTTCTCAGTATTCATCACACTGAAGATGATGAAGCCCATTGGTTGGAAGAGCAGCCAGAAAATTACAAAGAGTTTTAAAGCAATGAAAGAAGTAACTCAAACAGAAGTACAAAAGAAGCAGAAGAGGCAGGGTGTGCCTATAACCTACACTGCCGTGGGTGGGGGGGGCACATGTAGTGAATGTGATTAGAACTTGTGGGGATTTTGAAGTTTGTGGCGGTGTATTAACATTCTGTGTATGTCTAGTATTGCAATTTATCACGTTGCTGATACAGATCACAGCTATATAATTCACAGACTGCTTGTTAATTATGTGTTGTTAATAAATTGTTTAAATAATGATTTGCTTTAAGCTACATGAACTGAACAGTTTTTCCCTGTATGAGCTTGTTTAGATAGTGATGTTGATGATTCGTATATTACTGATCTAATTCTAGTAAGTAGGCCAAAGCCACTGTAAGCCTTAAAGGTATTTACCTTGAAACAAACAAAACCAACATGTAGTTTAATGAGTAGCAAAAAACTAATATTTACACGTAAAGTTTCAATCAAAGTTCATTCCAGTGAAATAAGGCAGAATTTCATAGCACTAAATCATTGTTCAGATCTCTTGCAAACTTGCTTCTGGAGTCTTCCTTTGCAACATTATCACTTGTAACTTTTTTGGTTTTCCTAATTCTTTCTCATTTAAAAAGTTAAAGGTAAAAGGAGATAACCTTAGGTATAGACACGCAAATTAACTACTCTGTTAACTTCGCAGGTGTATTGTCTTCTGCCTCGAATTATCTCTAACCTAGAGAAGGCTGGTTATCTATCTCAAACAACTGAAACTTCCGGGGAAGTAAATACATGCACAAGGGTAACCACCATGGAGTAACTTATGGGTCCTTTCCAACTTGAGTTATTCTATAATTCTAACTAATGAGCTATTTGTTCCCACTCCTCCTCACCTCACACAAACTGGTTCACAGGCCTACTGTCGAAAAACAAATGATTTTAAGTTTCCTCCACCTGGCTAGACTTTCATGCCCTAGATATTAAGAGATAATCACTCCTCATGACTGAGGTTGATCAATACACAAGCTCCAGACTGTGATTGCAAAACAATCTCTCCAGTGACAGGGGATGCACTGAAGCACAGTCACTCAGCCACCTCCTCTCTAAGCACTTACTGCCACCCAGCATCAGCCCTAGTTCTGCGCCAGCTGTGAAACAGAGCAGTGGCTGACCCTGTAGGAAAAACACAGTAAGCAAAAGAGCAGCATGAGACACCAATGCAGGACAGAGTAACAATTTTTAAAATGGCTCAATTTTGCTATCAAAACATCATTTTATTTAAAAAATAAGTAAACACTAATTCCTACTTCAAATTTCCCTCCCTTGCCGTCAGAAAGTGTTAGACTGTGGACTATGTTTAAACTGTGGACTAGGTTTGAACAGTTCAGACAGCATACTCTTAATGCTTAAAGTATCCTCATTTATCTCCCCACCTCAGGACAGAAAAGCACAAGAACCTTCAAAACATAAGAGGCCACTAATTCCTTCAAGGTAAAAAGATAATGATTTACCTAAGTTATACTTCAATGCATAGCTACACAACGGATAACCATTAACCAAAATGGAGAGGAAAATCTATGCAAATGCAAAACGCACCGTGTCTCAGTAAATTTCTATTGTTATAGAATCATAACTTTAATCTTAATTACAACAATTCCAGGCACTCACTTCACTCCCATCGATCCTAAATATACTTCTTCCATAAACACTCCAATCAAGACTAAAACAGCACAATTTGTTTTTAAAAACAAAATATTTCCTTCTTCTCTAAACTACTTCTACGTACAGTACTGGTCCTGCTTTACCACTGGGAAAAACCCCTACTTCTAACTACTATTTAACAGACTGCTACCATTAGATGACTTAGAATTTTTAGTTGCTCTATCAAGAAGCTTGTTCTAATGTTTTCTTGTCCTGAGCAGCCAGAGAATGCCAATGATTTTTAACTATTTTTTAATTTTAAATCAATTGCTGGAACATAGTTGGGAATTATGCACACACACACAAATACTGATTTCCTCACTTTATAGGAAGCTATTTGTTCACCTTTCAGGCACATCAGTATGTATCTTTACCATTTTTTTTCACGACAAAGTCATTCATGATACCACAATCAAGTCAATTCTTTACAACTGTGGAAATTGCATCAGTTTCATCAACACCACAGAACTGCAGTCACCGCTGCTGCATGTCCTATGACATAACACATGTCAGAAATGGACACAGCACCTGTCAAACTTAGAGGAAAAGCATTCAATTTGTGGCAGATTATTTAAGTTAAAGCTATTTTTTTTCTTTTTTTATATGTGGTAAGACCTGCAGTATCACATTCAAGCCAACACTGAGGCAGAAAGCCTGGAAATTTGAACACCACTTTGAGCACTTTCCAGATTTTCAGCAAGCCACTCAATTAGGAATATGGTATTAATAAAGTCAGAGTTGGTAAGGTTATCAATAAATCAACCCTGCCGCACAGAGTGACAGTTTTTACAAAACAGGCAGGGCTATTTTCAAAAATTACTGCGTGGATAGCTGAAATAACCAGCTCAAGTGTAAATGTAAATATAGCTGCAGATTGATAGCAAAGGCCATGACATTTTCCTTTATTTTCCCCTATAAAAATCCTCAGTAAATTACCTTTAGCTTAAAAGACTAATAACCTGCGTACAACTTCGAGGCTCTAACAGCACTGCTATTTTCATTAGCAGGGGCAAAGACTATTGCAGTCACAGCTACGTGTATATAACAAGAACAGTTAAGACAGCGAAGCATTTCTGTACTTCAGCAAAAAAGTTCAGCAAGCCCGCTGCCCTCCCGGCCCCTGGGGCTCAGGAAACACGGGGCCCGGGTCAGAACCGCCCCGCTCCCGACAGAAACCGCTGTGCGCCGCGCTTGCTGCGCTCGCTCCTTGGCAGGTACCAAGCCTAACAACCCGAGTTCCAACTTCGGCGGGTAACACTCCGACGGACGATGCCCGTGTGGTTTAAAAACCTCCTGCCGCCGGCCAGCGAACAGGCTGCGCGACAGGGCACAGGGACTTCACCGCCCCCGCTCCCCTTCCTGAACGCGCCCGTGGGGAAAGCGGGGACACCACCAGCCCCACCACGGGCTTTATGGCTCTGACACGGGCGGGTTCGCCCACTAAACTTCGGGGCAGGGAGAGAAGAGGCAAGGCAGCGGGCGGGGAAGCTGCCCGCCCGCCCGCCGCTCCCCAGGCCCGCGAGCTCCCGGCGCACTTTTTGAAGTCGCTCGCCGAAGTTTGCACAAGCCGGCGGCCGCCGCGCCCTCAGCCCCGCCTCAGGCCCCGGCCCCGGCCCCGCTGTGAGGAGCCAGGGCTGGCGGCGCGCCCCAGAGGCACCGCCCGCCCCGGGCAGCACCGCCACGGTCACCCCGGTCTCCCGTGGGGGCCCCTCGCTGCCTCCCACCCGCCCCGGCCTGCGGGAAGCGGCTTCACGCCGCGCCGCCACCCCTCACCCGAAAGGCTCCGCTTCTTCTTCCTGCTGCGGTCGCTCTCGTAGAAACCCAGCGTCTCCGTTCGCTGCTGCGGAGACGGCTGCCCCGGGCCGGCGGCGGGCGGCCGCGGCTCGCTGCTCCCCCAAAGAGTTTTCGGCTCCCCCCGGCCGCTATCCTGCTGCTGCTGCTGCTGTTCCGGGCCGCCGCCGCGCCGCCCGTCCCCGCCGCTGCCCGGCGCGGCGACGGCAGCGGCGTCGGCAACGCCGGCCATGTTCAGCGCCGCCCGCTGCGCGCCCGCCGCCCCCGCGCCGCGCGCCGCGCCGCGCCCCTGCCGGTGACTCATCATCGCGCGACAGCGGCGCGGCGCGCGGCGGCGCGCGGGTGCCCAGCGCCAGGGGCGGGGGCGAAGCCGGCGCGGCGCCATCTTGCCGCGGCCCGCCGCTGTTAACTGCTTAGGTGCCGGGAGCCTCTACCCGCCCTCGGTGGTGCCTCCCCTTCTCCCAGCGCCTTCCGGCCTCGTAAGCCTACTCTGGTGTTATGGGTACTGCAGGGCACAAATAAAGATACTTGTGTCAGGGGAAAGATCTAGCGGGCCCCTTGCCATTGTCTTGAGGAACGTGTGTAATGGTCACGGTTTGAGCCGTCGCACAGGCTGGGGGACAGTAGTTCCAACCAGTTGCAAATAACGCGGTTAATCTATCCTGCGCCGTGCAAATAAAGACCTTGTTTGGAAATGGAAAGCGAGAGGTGAATTATTAACTCCAAAGCCAAGAGGATTTCAACAAACTGTGTAACACGTGTTGGACCAGACCGGTCACTTGAGGTCAGAGACTGGCACTCCCTGGGTTTGTGTAGCTCTCCCTGCAAAAGGCCTCTGGAAGGAGTTGCTGCTGCCGTGCCCGGCGGCACAAAGGACGGGTGCTGTTGTAGCCACCCAGATCACACGGAGTTCTCAACGGCTCCCCGGGCACAGCCAGGCACATGCCGGCACCCAAGGGGCCCGCCAAGGTCCACAAGCCTGGCCAGCCCCACAGCAAGGGTCTGAAATCTTGTGGTTCATGAAGTGCTGAGGCAGGAAGTGTTAGTTACTGGCAGCACGGTACTGGTGGTGATAAGGCTTGTCAGAGACCACACTAATGAAAAATAATTGTTCCTGTTGCAAAGTGTTTAGAATTCATTCCATAATAAACACAAATAAGAAGAAGCAGCGAGTTCAAGGTAACAGCAAAGCACTTGTTTGCAGGGGAATTCGCATGGGCATGACGAGAAAATACCTGGCCTGAATTTCAAGTACAAGATCTCTTTCACATTTAGTTCTCACGTTCTTATCATACATTCAGAGGCCAGATTCGGTCAGCTTAATATTTAGCCACTCGTCCAGGGAAAACAAAGAATGCTTTATTCTTCCTTTGGAAGGCCATAAGAGTCATCTTCTATAACTCTTAAGTTAATTGTACAGTTGTCTCAAAAAGCATTTCAGGCTTTGGGTAGACTAGAGGTGCCAGTTTCCATTGCCATTAGTGGTTCTAAATGCCCCAAATCCAGTAAGATTAATCCAAGTCTCAGTATTTTCAGGCGATGGAGTGACTTTCACAGTCACTCATAATGTGCCATAAGAGTGTCATACAGAGAGCTAACAGTGATAGCTACTACACATTATCAGTTTGGGCTTTCTTCTCCCATCTTTTCCCTGTGGATGTAAAAACATTTGGAAAAATAGGATGCAGAACAAACAGCTCCAAAAAGAACTGAAAAATTCCCTCAGCAGGAGTCCTGTTGCAGTCCTTGCAAAGTTACATGACACCCTGAGAGATACTCTGTTTCTGTCCTTCCAACTGTCCATAAAAGCTATGTCCATCCATAAGATGCACTGCATGATATTTAAGGACAACAAATTGTCACAACTTTGTTATCGGTCTTACCCAAAAGAAGGTGTTTGCAGCATCAAGCATCATCTAACAACCTGCTATGTTCTTCTTCCTTCAGATCCCCTAAGAAGCTATCTAATGAATTGCTGGCATCAGTTGTGACAGCACATACATTTTCTATTCAGAGGTTGACCTAAGGTAACCTTGCTTAGTTTAGAAGATCTTCTATTTTTCTGCTTGAAGTAGTTCAGCGGAAGACGTGATAATAGTATGAGTGCAATACGGTTCAGTTAAGAATTCGCTCGTATTTTTGATGCTTCAAAATCACATTGGGCAGCTACCCTCAAGTTTCTACCCACAGAGTCTTTTTGTACGCTTTTTCTGTACTTTACATCCAGTTTGTAACCCATCATTAGCCAGGATTTTAATGTGTTTTTTTCCGTATGCAAAGATGTGTGTATTTCAGCTATTATATGGGGTATTTTGGCACAGTGACCACTTCCAGAAGGTCAACTCAACTGCAGCAAAATCCAGTCTTCTAGGTATTTGAACTACCTGAGGCAGAGGGGAAAAGTTGTTTAGTGAAAAATGTTAGCAGTGTTTATATAGAAAGTAGTGGTTCATTATGAGATCTGCTGTTGGGGGTTATCTGGGACCATCTGCTGTTTGGTCACAAGAAGCTGCGTTTTGTTGCTTTCCATAGCTTATCTTCTATGACACATGCTAGAGAGTGACTCTGCAGTAGGTCAGAATCCACTTTGCAGTTTCATAACCATTCACTGACCTTCTTCCTGAAGCAATTTTCTTAGAACAAGACACAGCCCTGTCTATGTTCCCACAACAGGAGTTTCACTTTTTTTCCCATAGAGACAATTGGCAGGTGGCGGGGAAGGGGAGGATTGTTTCAAAATAATGACTGTCTTCTGGGAGAAAAAGCAGTTTCATTCATAAAACAGCAAAAATCATTAGGATAGTCATAGAGTGAATACAGACTGTGAGTTAAGAGTTACCTGAATTTTGTTAGAAATGTCAGCACTGTTGATCTTTGTGGCTTTGTGCGAACTACTTCATTTTTTGCCTTAAATTTTCCATATGTATACTGGAGTAATGATTATCTACCTATAGATAATAATATATCTTATACATAATCATCACAGAGGGATTTGTGCTAAGTTTCTTCTGGTACTGTCAAGTATTAAAACCCTTATAATGTGTCCACCTGAGTTGTGCTTCAGTCTTTGAGTTACTCATTGATGCAACTGCTCTGTCTCCTAGTGAGCATGGTCTTTTTCTAAAGAATATTTTTGCATAGACTAAAATTCCTCCTTTTTAATAATGATTTTTTTTCCCCCACAAGACCCAACAAAAGGTTGTTAAGAAGACTCAGAGAGTAGATAATAAATTTTGTAGTGCTTTTTGCTGGAAGAACTTTCTTGTCTTTTCAGACCTTGCGGTCTATGTCATTTGTTCCCACCAACTCAGATATCCCCTCAACATAGTCTATCAGTGAAGTGTGCTAAAAAGAGGTCAAGTAAGATCTTCTTTTTAGAGAGAAATACAAACTTGGGAAAAAAAAAATTGTCAACAAAATGATACCTCGTATGAGAAGTAAATTATGGACATAGATTAGGAAATATGAAAAAAGTCTGGAGAGAAGTATTGGAAACTCAGTGTACTGTATCAGGCAGAGGTGAGTGAAACTGGAGAATACATTAACTAGCAATAAAGAAGAAACAGGCGTTAAAAGATTGATACTAACAGTGCCATACTCATAGCTGTATTACACAGGTATGAGTAACTGCAATACTCGTATGAAAGTAACTGGTATCTGTCTTCCATTGTAAGCTTTTTGCAGTGAGGCTCAAACTTCTTTAGACTTTGCAATAGCATTCAAAAGTGACTAGATAGTAAAGATATATGGTTTAATGGTTTAATTTCTTGAGTCTTTTGCAAGAATTATATTGAATCTTCAGTGTGATTTTCAATCATTCTTCATTTTTAAAAATGACATTGCTGAGTATACCTGTGAGGAGGCAAGACAACAAAACTCATGAACTCAAAGTACAATAATGCTGTTTGGGGTTTTTTGTTTGTTTGTTTGTTGTTTTTTGTTTGTTTGTTTGTTTTTTACCATAATAAAATATTTTCAGGCCCTTTGTAATTTAAATAAGTTATTTTTTGTTGGGTTTGTGACTTTTAGTTCATCGATCCACTTAGTATGTGGGTGCATATTCATTCTTCTACTAAAGGCAATGCATCTCTTAGCAACAACTGATATTAACAAACTTAGTTCTAAATCTTTCAGAATCGCAGCTGTCACACATTTGCAAGGTACAAAAGTATTGGTTGGAAGTATAATCTAATTCTGTCTCAGGCAGTTCTGTTTGGTAGTTGAAGTTAAAAATATCTGTTTACGCCCACAGGAGAAAAATCATGTAAAGATTCTTTCCTCCATTTTACGTTCAACATCTAAGCAGTACATGATTTTTTTTCATGGGATAATCTTCACATATGAAAAATAATCAGTACAAGAAATTGTTGTATAGATACTAGCACCTTAGGTGTTTCACTTATAATTTTTTTTTTCCTCTCAATATAAAATTTACAATGCTAGAATTTACCCTATTTTTTTCCCCGAGTTGTAGGCTCGCTGAAGATTAGGATGACTCTTAGGTAAGCTAAGGGAATTACTCAACAGCAACATGTCCTTGAATAATACGAGCACAAATCATGTTATGCAATACTACAGTACCTGAAAGTCGGGTTTGACTTCTTGCTGGTACATTTCCATTATTTGTTTGCTTTGGACACTGTATTATATAGCACAAGAGCTGCTGCACAGTTAAAACCAATGGTACTTTCCAGTGACAGTGTGTTTTTCCACACCTGCCATATTTGAAATTTTTGGAAGAAATTTCACTTTTTTGGAAGAAATGCCACTTTTATGTGGCATCTTATCCTGGGACCATAGTTCAGGGAGGACTGAAGGGCAGAGGTACAGAAAGTTAGTTCAGTATTACAGCTCATACTATCTTAAAAAAAAATTCATTTTTGTTAAGACTTCTAGGTGTTCCCTAGCGTAATATTTTTATAGCTCTTTCACTGTCACATATCTTGAATGTTTTTATCAAAGCAACATTTCTTCTGTGACCATGAGTGACAGTCTTTTTCTGCTCAAGGTCTGATCTTCATTTCTGTGTCAAGATTTCTTTACACTTTATATCTTGAACAAAATTCCGCAACTAATACTTAATCTGCTGTCTCTATTAGAGCGCAGATACCTGAAGCTCTGATACCTGTTCTGTAAGAGAAGCAGCAAATAGTCTTTTCAACATCAACATAAATGAACTCAGTGATACATGGGGCATTTCCCCCCAAGGTTCACACATTTGAAAGTAAAGTAGCAGGGAGATTCCTAAATCTCTCAGATTCCAAGTTACTTTATC